TCATGTACCCGAAAACCTCAGAACCCTTTGCCAGGATCTTGCCAGGATGGTGGCTTGCTTTTCTAAAGCACCATGTCAGTCATCCTTCAGCACAGTTCCCCCCCTCCCTTCTGTTTGACATGGAGGGTGGAGCCCTTTTAGATGCTTATAATGTCTCATTTTACACTAGATTTCCAGCGAAATGACAGCGTTGGACTGTCATCACACTCACCTCTCTCTTTTTCTCCTGGTGTGAGCATCTGGTCAGTCTAACGACCTTCATCATCAACATCAGCCGAACATCTCGTTCCCGACGTGCTGGAAACATCTGCACCCACAACTGCGTTGACTGAGTTCCCAGCATAACTTTTTGCTCATATTCAGCTGATAATGTTGATGAAAAACTTTAGTCAACCCGCATGTGAGAGTGAATCCAACCAGAAGAGACAAGTCAGCATATTTCTTTTGCTGCCTCTAAGTTTTTTTGGACAGGAAAACACAGCAAACCATTCAGAGGCCTGGAAAGCACAAGGCTTTGGCTCGCAGCAGCACAAAACCATCTTCTTGTTGTGACAACAAATCAGAAAACATGAGACGGGGTCTGTCAGGAGAAGTTTGACCAACCCGACCTGAAGCTCGGCCGCTGAGTCCATTTGACCCGCGGAATTTTATCGATGCCTCCCTCTCAAGAATCGGATGAATAATGGATCAAAGACGAATATTACTTAAGATCTGCCTCCATCGGAGGGATCAGATCAGCAGCTCTGGACTTCAAACAACACAAACAAATCAAGGCCTGACATGTTTTGCGGTTGGTTATTGATTATGGCTGGCTGCAGCTCGGGAGCCTGGCAGGCGACTCCGCCGGCCCCCACGTGACGTCCGGCCGGTCTGGGTCTCCGGTGAGAAGTGGAGCTTCGGGGCAGAGGGTGACGGCGAGCAGCTTTTCCCCTCAGCAGCATTTAGCTGTTTATTTTTCTTACTTTCATAAAGTAAATCAGCTCTGCTGATTAGGCCAAACGGTGATTCATCACATCACACGCAGGACCTTTGCTGCTTTAAGTGCCCCGGCTTTTTCCACATGGAGGCATTTGGATGCTTCTCTTGCTCCTACATTATGCACTTTAGAGAAAGCAGCATTGTGGATCATCTCCTTGTCAATAGAGTCATAAAAAGTGTCAAAGAACACTTTATATATATTGGTTTTGTTCTTGAGTTGATGTTGCATGCCAGAGTTTAGACTTCGTTTAGTTTAAATGGATATTTCTGGAAATATAAAACCTTTTTTATGGAATTGAGGATGATCAACCAATGAAAGAAATGGTCAGTTTGCTTCTTTATACATTGGTTTTATGTGTTAAAATGTACACAAAAGAGAACAAGACATATCTGTGTGTTCTGCTGATGAAAAGCTTTTTTGTTCAAGGAGCTCTGAGATGAGGAAAAAAACACTGTCAAACTCTTGCTGGTTTACTGAAATTAAGCTCAAGCAATTGCCGTGTGAGTCAGCCCCGGCTCTCAGGGCACAGTGGAGCTTTTCCAGGCAGTTGGATTAATGGCTCTTTACATTTTGGTGTGTTTTGTGACTCACTAATGCCTAAATTCTGACAAAATATTGGGGAAACAAGATGAATGTATGTATTTTCATGTGCTGAACAGCTTATTATGGTTTGTTTAACGTAATAAAGCGTTCGGCGGACAGAGATTTTCAGCAACAAAAGAAACTTTTTTAGTAACTCCAACGTTTCTATCCTGATGAAAGTCTTCTGTGATGACAGCTCTCTGATCCACTGGGGAGAAAAGTGTCCGTTGGATGATTTGATGAGTCTGGCCCTCATGGTTTGCGCATGTCGGCCTTGAGAGTGACACACAGTCAAAAACAGGCGCACAACAGGAGAACATTCATGCCTCCTGAAGTACTCGACTCTGAATCTTGAGGGCCGCTGTCCTGCAGGTTTTTGAGGTTTGCCTGTTTCAACACAACTAACTTACATCAACGTGCCATAAGCAGGCCTGTGCAGAGCTTAACAATATCCAGACGATATCCAATTTAATTAAAATCAGGTGAGCAGAAGCAGGAAAATGTCTAAAACCTGCAGGACGGAGGCCCCGCAGGACCGGAGTTTGACACCCCTGCCCTATATGACTAAGATCAGGACCCCAAAGCACATGTTTATACCTTTAGAGGCCTTGAAAGGTGCCCTTATGTAGCAAATGTGCAAACTACCAGGGTGCAACAGCAGGAGCTTTGAAGGCACCACCCACTGACAAGTCTTTGGACCCCTAAAGGCAACATTAGGTGATTTGTTTTCAGAGTGCCGGTTCATTCAGGACAACCATCTTCTCCTTTTTCCACTCTGTCAGACACCAGAGGATTTCTCACTTTTTTCAGCCATTCAGAGTCTCCTTCAACAAGTTTACCTTCACTTTTCATCACATCAATTTATCTCCTTCAGCTAAACTAACCATGGATGGTTTTTATGATGAAAACTTCTCATATGAATAACAAATATTGCAAAACATCTGGAAAATACTTCAAATTTCTCTAGAAAAACTAATCTTTTTGATAAAGCCTGATGTGCCGCCTTTAGGTTTTTATAGGCCTTTGTGTTGATGTTAAACTGGAATTAAAATGTTTTGTCAGCTTTTTTTATCTGTGTAATATTGCAAATGAATTAATTTTCTTGATTTTCTCTTTCTATGAAGACATCCCGTCTGGTTTGTATCGTATTTCAGGAGTCGGCTTTACAATGAGCTCTCTTTTCTAGACAACTTGTATTTAAGAAAGTTCTATTAAAATAATATTTCTTTGGGACTGGAGTATCCCAAGGAGACTGATATATGCCAAAACATGCTGCCATCCAGACAACACCTTTTTAGGGAAAGCCTTGTTTTTTTTTTTCAACAAGACAACACTAAATCCTGTTCTGCATGAATTTTGGCATCCCTCTGTATTAAAAGAGTCCAGATGTTGAACTGTGCTGTTCGGTCCAAACCTGTCAAAACAGCTGAAGTCCTTCATCAAACAGAAACAGGGGAGCCTTCATCCCGGCATTGTAAAACAGCAGTAAACATACGTCTGTCCAAACATTCTTGAAAACAGGTCTGACATCAGATCAGATGATGATAAAGTCTCTAAAGTTTAACCCTCAGCAGTGTTTTTTTTTTAATGTTCCAATAAAAGAATGGACTCAAACTATTTGCTCTGCAACACCTCGGTCAAACACTAGGAGATATTTCCTTTATCCGTCCCATATTCAGAGGACATAAATAAGTGAAGACTTCTCCACAGTTTGTCTCTTTCCTCTGCAAATTACGGTGAAGCTTCAGCTAAAGACGCACTTGGAATCACATATGAAAGTTTTTAAAGGTCCAGGTTTGAATTTCTGAATTTGTTTTGAATGAATAACAGTCTATTCATGTAACTCCTCTCTGATGACTGCAGACCAGCCATTTACGGGTTTACTTTGATCTTTGACCACAAGGTTGATGTTTTTATATGTTAGCATAGTACAGATTTACCAAATGAGAGACGCCGGAGATACTTTGATGTTTGGGCTTTGCAGAGCGGCTTCCTGTGTCTTCATATTTACAACCAAAGCTAACTCCAGCTCTCTGACTCCAGCTCCATGCTTTATGAAAACAATCTTCTCATTTAAGATAATATAGGCCTATGTATGTAGTATATATATGTATAGGGTATTCATTTAATTATTATAAAGTTAACCAAAATAAATTATTTTTATGTCCAAATAAAACAAACCCTGTTTCAAATCATGCTTCCAATCTCACTGATCACATTAGAAAGCCTCAAACTCAGCTGGAGTCACATCAGACATGCCGGATTACTTCACATAGTCAAATCATTTTGTTTTTGGAGACAGCAAAAATGTCCTCCGAGAGTAAACTGGAAAAGGAAGAAATCTCTAGAACATCTTAGGACCATCCCAATTAATTGGATTTCTTACTCCTGCAAGAAACTATTCACTTACTTTGCTTGTCAATTCTTTAACAACTTTTGTCATTGTAATCTAATTCATCTTATAATTGTTAGATGTTTTAAGTGAAAGCAAGGACAAATAAGAACATATGTTTAAACCATAAGAAATTCTTGTTGATCTGAAAATCCCTGTCATTCTGCCACATCGTTCGTAAATATTTACCGGAGTGAGAATCATTTTTTGCTCTCGACGTAAAAATAGACCGTTTTTTGTGGCATTTCAGTGGTTGTGTGCAGGTCGTGTTCACACCAGAGGACGTCGCTGTTTGTCTCTAGTTTACAGAGGAGTCAGATGTTCTGTGAAGTCCTCCTGGAAGTGGTCGTCCTCCTCTGCAGCTTTCGGCTCTGAGCGTAAAACTCCAGGTAGAGTTTTAGTAAAAGTTTAGTAAGATCACACCCGGTCTGTGGAGCTGTGGGAGACCTGGTCTTTTAGCACTTCTTCCCATCTTTGCGCCCCACCTCTTGGTTCTAATTATCGTAGGGGGGGTGGGGGGTGAGGGGGGGGGGTAAGGGTGGGGGTTGGCCCAGCAGCCTGGCGCACACTTCTGATTGGCTGAGCCCGGTGTCAGTCTCCTGCTCACTCTGTATCCTCCGGTTGGTGAATGCAGTCCACACCAGAAGTCAGAAAGTCCAATTTCTCCAAAGGGGGGGCTCGGAGCGGAGGTGTCGACTTGTCCGTTTTTTTTCCTGCGTTCCTTAAACGATCCACAGTCCCAAAAGTGCCGCGAAGGTCAGTTTGGCACGTTAGAAGCTGCTCACCGGTGCCTTTTTTGAGCCTACCAAAGGGGGGATTCATTAGGCTTGGTGGGGAGGGGGGGGGGGGGGGATTTTTGACCCCTTTCTCCGGCTCTTTCACGCGTTTCTCTGCGCACCTGAGCGCGCGGCGGCTGGGCATGTCCGGGGCGCATCCGCGCGCGCGCTGACCTACCATGGTGACATTATTCACCGGCGACCACCCACCACCCGCGCGCGCTCTCTCCCACTGTGGAATGGCCGGATTCCAGGTGTCAGCAGGGGAGAGCCGATGCGGCCGATCGGAGGAGCCAGCCGGGATTTGACAGATTCCCCCCCCCTCCCCACCCCCCCACGGGAGAGTGGGATGCGAGAGGAAAGCCCCTAGAGGGGACAACCTTCGGCTTCTTTCACCTGCGTTCACCGTGGACTGCCAAGAGCCATGGCCTCTGAGGTGGTGTGCGGGCTGGTCTTCAGGCTCCTGCTGCCGATGTGTCTAGCAGCTGGTGAGTTTATTTTTTCCCAAAACAACAATTCTTTAAGCATCTCGATGCTCTGTGCGCCACTTGAGGGTTGGATGTCAATAAATCAACAATATGCCCCCAACCCCATCACCTCCACTCACCAGTATTTCCCTGTAAATTGGTTAATTAAAGTGTGACAAGTTTTTGTTCATTAAGTGCCCAGAAGTCCCAACTACAGCAGCCAGGCTTTAGAAACTGTTCTAACTGTCTTTCAAAGTTTTACTCTTCTTCGGGTATTGGCTGCTGTCTTTGGTTTTCAGATTTCCATCACTCACCAGCACTGTCCATCCACCTGGACGTCACCCTCTGCTGGGTTAAGTGAAGCTGACAACTGGGTGTCCATTCACTGAGCGCCCTGCCAAAAAATGAAAAAGAAAAAAGAGTCTTTGCGTAGGTTGGAGCTAGAAAGGTGCCATAAAGTTTATGTCTAATACTAAAACCACGGAAAACACAGACTTGTTTTCATTATCGCTGCCAAGGGCCAAAGCCTTAGAGCAAACATGTCAGGGACGCAGCTTATTTTATTCAGCTGTGGCTGAAACTGGAAGCTCCATTTCAGCGCACAGGAGCCGCTGAACGGCGGCCCGGTGCTGACACTGATTACACCTCCTCCTCCTCCCACGATTCTGGGATTTACATTTTTGTGGTCAGTTTGTCGTCTGCTCGGGACTGGTCGGCGTAGTTGGTTATGAAGCCGCTGACAGCGTTGCTGCTGTTGATGACACGGCTCAGATTGGCCTGACAGCGTTCTCCTGCTGGGTTTGCATTCCCCTGAAGAACTGTGCAGTTTGTTGGCCACCTTGTTAAGAAAAGTGCTCCTTCGGATTAGACTTTGCGGTGTTACTGAAATGGATTCACTCCTTTGCTATGCAGATGTTGGCCATGACTCATGCTCTCTCCTTCTTCTTTTTTTTTGTGGTCTTATTTGGACTTTAAGCTGCGCAGACACTAATTTAACTCCGTCCAGATGTTTCTTGAGGTGGATGCTGGCTCCTCTGTTCAGGTGGAGTTTCTAATTACTGCTGTAAGCCCGCGGTAGGCCGCAGGTGAAAAACGATTGGCCGCAAACTGCCACTGAGGTTCCAGTGTGGTGTACTTTAAAGCTAACAGCATGCTTTCTATAGATAAGACCCACTCAGTGGCACCGTAATGCATCGCTTGACAGGCCGGCGCGCCCCTTATTTCCAAAAGCAATTGTGAGCCCATGTGTTGTCTCCATTAATTTGTGGAAAGTCGTTTTAACAGTATGAATTAATAATGCGGTTGTGCGGGGGAGAAGAATTGCCTCCCCTCTTATCGTAAACATACCTTTAATATTTGATGTTTTTTCAGAGTGCCAATGAGCACTTGTCATGCACTTCAGCTGTACATGGTATCCGACAGGATGGGGGGGGGGATATGGAAACAGGAGAATGTGTCCAGAAACATGATCTATGAGGCTCCTCCTGTCAGCACTGATTTTCACACATTTTTTTCACAGTATTAGAATTGAATTATTATAATTACTCTCATTATTAACTACGTTCTTTGTTCAGCTTTCTCTTAGTTTTCTGTTTTTAGGACTATAGAATAAAAGGTACATTTATTGTCCTCTCGGTGCTACATAAACAGATCGGAGACCAACTGCTGCACGGCAGATGTTATCGTGCCCCAAACACCTATATTCCCCTCACTGTATACGTTCATGTCTGCGGTGGACGTTGCAAACTGTTGCTTTTCATGTCCTAGTGACAGACTTGTCTGCTGACGTTACATAGTCAGTGTTTCCTGTGGCCCATCTGACAGCACCTCTATTGAAACATGCACAACCGCTGGGCCCGTGTGTACACAATCCCCTCAACCAACACACACACGCACACACACCTTCACACACCGCCGCGGTCGTGCTGACCAAACAGTCCGCCGTTCATGTGTTTACTGGCAGAGTTGGGAGTGTGAACGTAATTGTGAGCCTGCACCTTCCCAAACGTCTGCTCTGATGTTGAACCTGTCGTGAGAAATGCGCAGGGGTGGACCAGGTGAAAGGCGACATGCGGATGCTGAGCTGCCGGGAGCATCGGTGGAATTATGATGCACACAAACAGCAATCCATACGCGCTCTCACAGTTTTGAAACTGATCTGAACAGCATTTACACAAAAGAAAATATCGAATCGGCTAAATAAAAGTTCTGCTTGGATTTTGGAAAAAATAGACAAATGCAAAAAAAAAGTCAAAAATGCTCCAATCGTAGGCAAAAAGGGGAAATATTCTTAGAAATGATTCAAGAATTAATCTATTCTGAAGCAGGTGATCCAAAGGTGAAAGCCCACTCAGGAGAAGAAACAAAGAGAGAACAAACATTAACTTTAACTCTGAGTCAAAAAGGTAATTAGGCAAAACTGATGTGATTTGTTTAGAATAATCTGAAAAATTTGTATTTTTAAGAGGTTGTTTCCCTCATTTTTTGCTATCTGTTTCTTTGCAGCTTAACATTTCTAAGATCTTATTGCCATTAAGTGAGATAAATTATTCAATATTTTACTTCCAGTCCTAGTTCAAGAATCAGCCAATAAAAGGTGCTCAGTAGAAAAAAAACCTGTCACTTTTTATCTTCAAAAACGCTATCATAATTAATCATTGTGTGCAGGAAATCCTAAAGAGAAAAATCAAACATCTCAGACAGAACAACCCCTTTTTTTAAAGCCATCATACAGAAATATTATGTTTAGACTGTGTTTGTGTTTATGATGTAGAAAATATATTTCCATCCAATTCTACTTGTTAATTGTTACAGTTGATTACAAATAGCTGATTCAGAGACAGTTTATCTGGTCAGGATTAAAGAGTGCAATTGATGCTGGCGTTAAAGAAGCTATTGGCCCTTTTAGGTGAGTCAAGATGATTGATGAGACTGTTTTCATAGTTTCGATTTGGACATTTTGACAGTCTGCATGTGACATCTATCAGCAACTTTAAACTGAACTTTTACAACACTGGATATCAAATATCATACTAAAACAAAAAGAGAAAAAAAAAGTTGGGGAGGAATGCTTTTTTATTACTTTCCCCTGAAAGGTTTAAATTCCTGCGTTATCTCCTGGTGCTGGAGTTAGCCAGGCACTGCGTTGCCTTATCTTCTACTATTAGGTTTTTAAAAACGTTTTTTTGGATGAAAGTCTTGAGTTCATCTGGTTCAGATTGGACACAGAATTCTGCTCTGCTTCTCCCGGGTTTGAACCGTCTGAAGTGAGGCTTTAATTGAGAGAGACAAAAGACTGATTCAGCCTTGAATGGGGATTTTTACAGTAATCCGATGTCTGAAAACAACAGCAGTTTATTTTCATTCTCTGTGTGAAATCCTCCGATGGTGAGTCATAGAGCAAAAGGCAAATGGTCAGGAAGGCTGCGGTCAGTTGCCTGTGGGCTATTGGAGCAGGAGCTGAGCCCGGAGATACAAAGATTATCTGTAACAACACTCGGAGCAGATGCGGGCATCCTTAGGTTAGCTACTCACAGCAGAAGAGAAACAGTGGCACTGGACCTCAGGTTTTCAACAGGGCAAAATTGAATGCCTCATTGGTGAAAATCAAGCGGGCGGGGGATAGAAATGCCACACTGTGTGAGACAGAAAAATACAAAGATTGTGAGTCATTCCTTCCTCGAAGCCGAAAAACCTCTTTTTCTGAACAGAAAAAAGAAAAACAATACCGAACCCCCCTCCCCTTTTTTTTCAACAGTATTATAATTGTGGTTCGTTTGGCTGGCTTGTCAAGCATTTAAGCTTGCCCGAAATAATCGCAGAGATAATCTACAGATGTTTGCGATTTGCGCGAAGACAGCACGCCCCATGACATTTATTAACTTTTGTTAGTTTTCATTGGTCTGTATCTGAGCGCAGCCAAACCCAGGAGGTGCACTTTTTTTTTTCTTCCTCCTCTAAGGGAAAAGCCACAGCCAAGTCAGATGTCAATGAATAGGTCCATTGACTGTGCAAAGATAAATACAAGCACCATTTTCTGCAGTTAAGTGTAATTTTTCAGTAGTCCCACACACACACACACGCACACACACACACCAGTAGCCGCTGATGTCTGACTTAGGCGATAACTCCTGCGCCGGGCCCGGCTGTAAACTCTCAGCTTGTTGATGTAAAGCAAAGAGGAATCTGTAAAAGCCAGACCCAGTGTCCACATCTACTGCCCGGCCAGCGTGCGCTTTCCTCCTTCCTTCCTGACGAAAACGTTCAAAGGCCAAATGCGGCCCGTCCCGTATTCGGCGGTCACTTTCGGACGTGGCCTGGGATTGAAGTGAGAGTGATTTAAGGCTGTAATGCTGGCGTGGCTGCGTAATGGAGGATGCTCTCCGGGCGGTGCGGTTGGTTTGGGGCGCAGTGATTGATGTCCGCTCAGCGGTCAGTGGGAGCTGTTTAACTGGTAAAAGCCCCCGATCAGGACAGCTGCCCCATTGGACTTGAGAGATGAGGTGTGTTGCAGATCAATAGATCAATTAACATTTTTTTTAGAGGTCACATTTGCCCCTTAAGTATCCCACCTCTCACCCTGAACGCTGAGAGCCTGCTTTCATGCTTTCATGGGCCTGTGTGTCGTACATGAATGCGGCGTATTCAGGAAAGAGCAGTGGGAGGAAGTTACATAATGTGGTGTCACAGTGTGACACATCACCAAAATCACAATGGAGCTGGAACAATTGTCTGCCGCCATAATTTTAGGATTCAAATAATTTATTAAAGCACAGAATACAGAGAAGTGTCCGATTATTTATTTCCTCACTCATCAAATGTCTGCTCTAGTCTTGCTTTTTTCTGGTTTTAGTCATTTCGATAAAAGGTGAATCAGAACAAACTGAAACGGGACAGAAAAACGCAGGTAATGGTTTCCCGGCAGTTTCCCCTTCGTACACCTGTAGTTCTCCTGGTCCCGGTTTCTTGCTGTGAAGCCTGACGCGGGCAGATCTAACCGCAGGCAGTTCATTTAGGCTCTTAACAGCCCGCTGGTATCGGTGATTATTGTTCTTTAAAACAAATGTCGGTTTCCTGAGTAACTGAATTAAGGGCAGGTTTGTTTTCTGTGATGGAGGCCAGATGAAGAGATAATTAGGCTGGTGAGTGTAAAGTCGACTCGGAGGAATGTCGGTGTTTTATAACCACGGGTTCTTTTTTTTATTTATGAGTTTAACTAAATGTTTCTCTCAGTCTGTGTTAGGTTGATATCAGCGATGAGCAGCTTGCCTGTTTATTTAAAGAAATTGATGGTATTTGAGCAAAAAATGTTGAGCATTTTGAAGCTCTAATATTTGCTTTATGTGTTTTTTTTTCCCTGCAGCTTGCCTGTTCAGGTACAATATCCTGTCCTTCGTCTACCTCATCTACCTCCTGCTTATTCCGCTCTTCGCAGAGCCCACAAGCACAACAATGCAGGGTAAGATTTACAGTTCTCTCATTTTCAGTGGCTTTGACTTTGCCCACCGTCTGGAGAGGTTTCTCTGCCTCCCAAAAGCTTTTTCTTTGAATGTTGTCCTCTGTAATGCAAACCAGCCCTTCTCCAGAAGACTTGAATTTCCTTGTGATGAGGGTGGATTTGGCAAACGGTTGAGTCCATGAAAGGTAATATCAGTTAGAGCAGGCCCGGGTCCATCTGTAATAATAAAAATGATCCAGTTACCCAGATCCGAGATAGAAAGGGCTCCGTCAGAGCCAGATCTGAGATTTTCTTGAGAAAAATTGACATTGTACACTTAGGTTGGGTTTATTTAGGCAGATATTTCCCATATAAATGGTGAAAACCAACAACTCAAGCTGTGCTTTGAAATAAAAGACATAAAAAACCCCCATAAAAGTTATTTTACTTAAAAAAAATTCTGACAGGAATGTTTTTGATAAGAAAAGCTAACCACTTCAGTTACTGACAGAGGAATGGAAAAGGTGCTCTTTGATGCAATAAGCTGTTTTTACAGCAATGATCTGCATGCATTTGACAAAATAAGAGTTGACACTTCACTTTTTGGCATCAGAAAAGCTCCACGTTGAGTTTTGAAAATAGAGGATAGCTATAAGAAAAGAGTGAAATTGATTAAAGCCAGCCTTAAAGCTGTAAAACTACCCTCTATATCTTTATTTTATCTTTATGTATAATCTATTAATCCTTTAAGGGATATTTGATCACAATGGACCTCTGTGGTTTCTCTCAAGTGGCTGAGGTGGCTGTTGTTCTTAGGAATGAAGAATGTGGGACCTGTAGCTCGCCTTCGTGCGCTCCCTTAGCCACAAATTACAACACAGCACACCTTTCAGTAACAATATGGGTTTCTGTAGAAGACCGCACGTATAGTTTAATAATACATAAACCCACAATGGCGGCGGGAGCGGTCCGATATTTGTCTGCTCGTCTCCAGCTGAAACAACAATCAGGAAGTAAAACGGGAAGAAAGAGAAGCGAGCGGTGGAAGCAGGGAAAGTGGACCACTTACTGCCTCATCAATAGTTAATGAGAGCAGACGTATAGTGAAGCCGGCTGCTCACCTACCTGATGGCTGTGGAGATAAAAACGCCCATTGTTTTTTTTCACCTGCCAAAATCGCACCTTCTGACACCAGCCAGAAGGACACTGTGACACGTTTGTCACCACAAAAGTCATTACCCTCAAAACAATAATATTCTGTGATTAAGAGGGATAAAACCAGTGATCTGTATCAGATGTATAAAATAATACCCCCTGATGTGTTCACAGTCATAAAATCCTCACTGTGGAGCTGCAGGCCATTAAAAAACAAACATTACTCTGTTTTTATAGCGAATTAATCAATCTTGTGTCCTTGGTGGCATTTATTTTTGTGTTAAATCTTATTCAGGGGTTGACATAGTTTTTTAAGCAACTCTTCCAGCATTCTATTCATCAGGCGGTTCCTGAGTATGATTTAAAAACAACATAAGCTGCCTTTTTGGAAAAATACAGATGGAATATTTTTAAGGTTTTAAAGATATCTTTTACTGTTAACTTGCCATCTTTTCATTGATTTTGTTATGAGCTGCAGCGCGGAGTCCTTTTTTTCAAACGGGTGAAATCAGTCGCTGAAGCTTCTGCCTAACTCGACATCACTTTCAAAACAAAAAATGAAACCTTGATAAATGGTTGTTAGTTTGACATGGATTTCCTGGCAGGATGACCTTTAGTTTATAGAGGGCAGTGGCATCAGTGAAAGCAAAGATGTCCTCAGCCGATGTGGATGATCACTTATTTTTAGATAAAAATAAAAATAAGATTAAACAAAAGCTTTATTAATCCTGAAAGGAAATTTTTGAATTACAGTAATTGGTAAATGAGAGCCACATTTAATTGAGTCGTGCATTGAAAGCTTTGGGAGTTTAACACTTACAATCCAGTAAAGTTAAACATGTAGAAAAGTGACTGTCAGCTGCTTTAATCCCCAGAAAAATTGCAATTTTAGCCCTTTAGCCAGAAAATTTAAATAATCATACATTAGGATCTTGCTTGCCTATTGACGTCTGAATTAAATTTTTCTGATTGGACAGAAGTCAGTTGAAGCACATCGTAAAAACATCATATTTTGACAGAGAGCTATACTCAGGTATACCAACAGCCAAAGAGGCCTTTACTAAAGGTTAAGGGAAAATTATAGTTAGTGAAAGCTTACAGCCTTTAGACATAGTTAAATGATGAGACGCTCCTCATCTGTTCAAAGGATTGTTTGTGTCTAAAAAACGAGAGAGCAAATCCAAACACAGGCATGCCGCTCGCTCCAAACGCCACCCAAACTTTTCATAAAGTTCGGCCAGAGGATGATCTCACTTTCACGTGTTTACTTTATTTTTTTCCAAACATCTGCATTGTTGCAGAGATAGCGTCAGGCGTCCAGATCACAAAAGAAGGGGCGCAAAAGCGCGGCGCGGTGTGAGCTATTCCTCCGGCGTAACCTGCCAGGACTTGCATCCCATCTGTCTGCCTCAGCTGTCTGTCATCAGCGAGGGGGCTGCAGGCTGACAGACGCAGTATGAGGAAGTCCCTGCAAACACCGCCTCAGTAATGGGATTATCGCCGACTAACAATGAGACGACTGGAAACTGGCGCGATGCTGTCGCTATCCCTCACAAGCAGCTTATTTAACCCAAATATTTGTTTGATAAGTGAAGGTGAAGGAGTTGGGGTTATGACGTACCGCTCGCCCCTCAGAGCCATTTCAAATTCCTGATGTCTGGCAGCTTTAATTGAGGGAGAAAGCTGTAGACCAGCAGCTCTCTGTTTGAGCTGTGACCGTAGCGTTGTGTTTTCATAATGCTATTTATTTATTCAGACAATATAAACCCACGGCATGCACTTTGGTTAAAAGAAATGTGTGCTGCCGCAGGGAAATGAGACAAACTCTGTTTGTTCCCAGTGTTTTAGAGGATAGAAGGAAGTCTTTTTTATAAGGAATCGGTATTTTGTTGTGATGGTCCGTTTCTTTTTGTCCCCCGATCTTAAAGGACGTCTGGCAGTTGAATCTGTTCAGTTGATAGAAAACACATGTCAGAAGTGAATAATTCATTGGGTGTAATTTGCCTTAAAAAGCCGGGGCTTTGCAGTGCTTGAGGAGGTAACACGGGACTTCTTTTAGTTTGTGATTTGCTTTCTGCTATTGTAAGGGCAACATGTGGCTCATTTTCCCCCCTCCAGGACTCGAATCGTCACAAAATATAACCTGTTGCAGTGGTGTGGGCTCAGTCTCTGTTGTGTGTGCCTGGTGCTCCATCAAATGGAAACTGCTGGGACATTTTCACAAAAAGGGAGCCTTTATGCACTGCTACATGAATTGGCAGAAATATTTAATGTTCTTAAGTTTCTATTTTGGCTTGTAGATTTCTAATAGTGAGTGACTTTGTCACCACACTATATAAAGTAAAAGTTAAGATGAGTTTTTTCCCCTGCAGTTAACTCAGGCGTCCTCATTCCGATGTATTGGGACCATGGAGCTAAATCAGGTTTTAGGTGCAAATCTCTGATTGATGATGGAAAATGTGCATCTACAAAATTCGAACAATGCCCTCTGTTTAGAAATCATGTAAAATACACACAGGGGAGTGTTTTGGGACTGAATAATGAAGCGGAATACTTTTTCGAGATGAGCGTCGCCAGACACAGACTGCTGTCAGACAACAAAAATGTTCCTTTACAAATAGGGAAGAAAAAAAAAAAAGAAGAAGAAGAGGGGAACAGCTTCAGGACCAATTTGGACGCAATCGTTAGTGAAAACTTCTCGTTGCTTCGTAGTTACAAGCATTCTGTTCCCTCATTACGAAACCCCCGGGAATCGCAATGGGAAATTTGCACAAATTGTTTTCAATTTAACATTTAATAAGCTGACGTGGTGTGCTGTTGCACAAGCTGCGATAAGGTTAGCCCCTAGCGGCCCGGCGCTCAGCGGTAGTGCCTCGCTTTAGCCAGGATATTGTGCCACGCTACAGTAAAACTGTTATGTGTTCCACACAAGGATGCAGTAAATGTAATGAGAAGTTGCACCATTATTAACTACTGAACCAGAGTAAGCAGATACGTGTGAACGTTTAACACACCAAAACACATCGCTGTCCATCACTGTTTGTCTTTTGTTTTTTTACCAGCAAAACCTGAGAATTTAAGAGCGGGAACGTAAACATTTTCATTTTAATTTGGGTAAGAGTGCGTCTGGGATATCCTACTTTGGAGGATTATCACCATAACAACCCCTGAAATTATTCCAAATACCTGTAGGTGTGCTATAAAACGGCCATGTGTTGAGCAGCTGTGGCCTGCTCTCATCCTTCCCTCCCAGGATCAGTCATGTGTTCCCACAGCTGTGTTCTTTACCTACATTAAAGCAAGACGCTGACTCAGTCGACACCTTTACGTTCTTGTGGCTCCAAATGGCCACGTTATTATTTGTGAACATGAAACCAAAGGAGAGAATGGGCGTACGAAGACTAGTCCTGCTCCTCCGGGGATGTGTCTTGTGGTCCACCGGAGTGTTTGTTTTTACTTTTGAACAGAAATAAGCTTTGCTCAGAGGCAGCGGGCCCGGTTCTCAGCCAGCATGGGGATTATGATCCACAGAAAATCGCTCGTGGTTGCTCTCCCAGTCATCCTCACCCTAAGTCCCAGCTCATTCAGAATGGCCTTCCACCGCGTCGTACATGAGCTCGAAACCATACGCAGGAAGGAAACAGCTGTCCGTCTGCAAACGGAGATAGCCACAGTTTAAGAACTCAGACATATTGAGATGTTTTGAACTTCTCAACAACTTCTCAATAACTCAGTAACTAACTTCTTAGCAAAACGCCGCATTCTGTGTCTATAAAAACAACAGAGGGACTAACATGTGCGAGTCTTTAAAAATGCGTGGTGGTGAGCTCTCTGTATCCTCTCTCCCCCTTTAGGCCACACAGGGCGTCTGCTGCAATCGCTCTGCTTCACCAGTATGTCCTTCCTGCTGCTCCACATCATCTATCAGATTACCGTCAACAGCCTGTTGGCCGGCAACTCCATCTCCTCCAACTTCAGCTGTGAGTACACTGCAGCCTTTATGCGCGCGGCTCCGAGGCCTCCGAGGTTTGTGTGAGGCGAAATCAGCATTCTTAAAAGGTCAAAGATCGTGGACGAGGAGGAGGAAGTGATTCCTCGGGTCGCTTTTCAGTCGTTCCTGCTTTGCAAAGACGCAAAACATGCATTAAAAGCATCTAATTTACTTTCAGAAAAAGTCAGTTAAACCGAATTATCTTAAACTTAACAGGGGATTCAAACTTTACATTTCACAGAGGGAAGTAGCCCAGAGGCCCCAGTGTGCGTCACAGGCTGTGCACACAAGCTGGGATGTAGCTGCAGAGTTCATACAGATAAACAGAAATGGAGCTGAAAACATAACTTTAAAACTCTTTTTTAATTTTTATTTAAAACAATGCTGTTCTGTGCAGATTTGTTCAGATGGTTCAACTCTTTCTGTGTCACATGTGTTATGTCGGCCGGGGCGGGTGGGGGGAGGGGCGCACATGTGTGTCCCATCCATCACACGGGTCGTTTTCTGAGCTTAAACTCTGACCCCTGTCAAGAGTCATGAGCAGAGGTGTCATGAGCGGAGGTGCTGCTTTTCTCACAGCCTGCAGGAAATGATCTTCATCGTTCGTAATGTGTCGGCAAAAATTATTCACTATTTCCTTAAATAATTCATTTTTGTGTCTTTTTTTTTGCGCATTTTATCACATTGTGAGGATTTATGACTCCAACACATTCCTGAGCTTAATAAGTGTTCATGTTCCATACGGCAGCTTTGGAAAAAAAATAGATGCCAGTATAGCAAATACTGTAAGTCGCTCACTCACTGTTGGAAAGGTGTTAATAGTTGGCCCCGGAGGTTCTCATGAAACCGTGTATCAAATAGTAAAATTCGAAAATGTCTAGACGGGACAGACCCTGACTTCGTGGTCTAATGGCTTGTTTTTTTTTAATGGAAGCAGCTTGCTTTCCTCAGCTGAAGCACGGCCAACTTCGGGGGGCAGGAGGAGCCTTATCGCCAGAGGCAGAAACACACAGAGCCGTTCAGAGAAGGTGGACTAAATGCGCTCTGAAGGAGGTCTTCATTACCGGATTCTCAGGGCCTTGTGGCTTTTCATGGACCAAACCCAGACTGGTTTTATTTACCCACGTTAACTTTTGTGTCACAGTTTCCGCCCAGTGATCTGACACCTGACTTTTCTGTGCTTTTTCAGGACCAGGTTAAAGCAAACCTATTCTTATTTTTATTTTTGGCTCCAACAGGAAGTCGGACATTCCTCTTGTCCTCTCAAACTGCCGCCTGCATTCTGAGAAAGTACCTTATCTCTGATTTCTATATCAGTTATTTAGACCCCCCCCCCCCCCCCCGACACCCTTTTCCTTTTGGCAGCCACGCATAAACAGGGAGTCCTTTCCTCCGCCGAGCGGCCAGCCTCCCCCTGGATAACTTCATATGATTTCCTCTGTTTTTGTTGCAGCCAAATGCGCCATTAGAGCACAACGCGTCGAGTGTGTTTCCAAAAGAGCAAACACCTCCAGCTGTCAGGCCAGGTCAGCGACTGGTCACCAGATGAGTCGGGGCCGGCTTCCTTTGGAGTCATCTGCCATTCCTCTGCTCTGACTCCGCACGGAGGGAGCTGCATTTACAAACAGTTAATGCACCAATGAGGACCAGATGGGGGGAGTTCTTTTCGACATTTCGCGTCGGCTAAATGGTCCACGGAGAGAGCACACTCCTCCGGCCTTTCAGATACTTCCCTGTGACATTGGAAGCTTTGTGGCAGACGTGTTCCTGAGTGGCATTTCTCACTCATCGGGTGGAGGTTAAGCTAAAAAGGACCCGTTCATTCCCCCTGATTGCGACACATCAGGGGCCCGTAGAGTCGCGGTTTCAGAGGGACGACTGCCCTCTGAATCTGAGAACATCCTCCCAGCCGTTTGATAGAGGTTGAAAGGCTGAAATATTCCTCCGAGTGCGGAGCTGGCCTCGGGCCGCATCGATAGGAGGAGCGCAGAGAAATGCTGCGCCGAGGTCAGCAGTCCAGAGAGCACAAAGAGTGTTTTATGATGCTCGCATAAAGTCGGAGGACAGGTATTTTCGGTGTCCCGCTGGGGTGAAATGCGGGCCTGGCCTCAACAGACAGAAAGTCACACACACACACACTCTCTCTTCCAGAGGCCTCCGTGCTGGGCTCAGCCTGTTTCACACAGTATTCCTCTTGTCACGCTATAGATTTGGCCCGGCCTGATTTTACCTTTGGCATTTCTCGCGCACAACGTCACACCTTTTGGGTTACAGGAAGTTTTATGTCTAGGATGTTTGGACAGACTGTGTTTTGAGTCTCTGGGTTTGTGGCCTCAGTGGGAGACGAATAGAATTTAAAACACCACGAGCCGACTTTATCTTCTCCGCTACATCCCTCTGGCTCTGCCCTCCATCTTGGTTACCATGGCTTGTTGAAGACAGTCAAGAAGAGTGTCCTCTAATGTACTCCCTGTACCGCTGGGTCATAAGATCAGCAGCTTTGAGTTGTTATGAGATCCAGACTTGTTTTTTGTGGGAGTGATTATGCTCACACTCTGAAACGACTCATCTGTCTGCTTCTCCTCCCCAGTTCATTTTCAAATTTCCTTTTCTCTCTTTTAATGAATGCTTGCAAAAAAAAAAAGCAAAGCGTCCATCCCAGCCATTTAACTGGACTATTCTCTTTGTTCCTGGGAATTTCTAACTTCACTGCACAGAATTGTTTGTCTATAAGTCACTTGGCGGTTGTTGTTTTTTTTAGCTGATGCTTTGGTTTTTAGGTATAGACTGAACATTAACAGCAGAGATTTAATGGGCTGATGCTAAACAACACTGATATTAACTGAATTAAATGCTTAGAAATTCAGTCTAATTTGGCTTGTGTTTGTTTGTTTGTCCCTTTCATTTAGATGCTGACATGCATTTACAGCGTAGAATTCTGAACACGAGTTTTAAAGAAAGAAGTAAATAAACAATAGGAATAGATTACGTTTTATGGAGGCATTTACTAATTCAGTGGACTAAAAGTGAAATAACAGAGTTTGAACGACTTTAGCTGCAATATTTTATGAAAGTGTGTCTCAGGTTAAACCTGTTCAATTTTTTAGGGAAATATGATCAATTTTGGAGAGAACAAATCAAAGTAAGGAAAACTAGCTTTCTGTTCCCTTTTTTAGGGAATCTTATCTCTTCAATCTTTAAAAAAAAGTTTGCTTAACAAACAGACTCGTGCACAAGATGCTTTTTAAAAAAATCAGATTTACCCCAGCATGACCTTGCTGATGTTTATTTCTTTTTTGTTTGCTGTTTTTAAGCTTCCTTTTAGCTTTATCTGTCCACATCATAGAGATTTATGTGTGTCCTCATGTTTTGGGTTTACAGATGTTTTTCTCCCTGCTCTTTGCTGTTATAAACTTGTTGATCGGAGCCTGTTTGCTCTGAGTTATGCAGTTTTATACTGGGCGGGCAACGAAGTGAATCAGCCACAGTTGGGTGGCTGAGAGTTGACAGAGGCAGTGGACCGACACATTTGGACTCGCTGCAGCTTTATTTGCCCAGCAGCAACCTGTTGGCATCATATTAAAATCTGAGTCGATGTTTGAGCAAAAAATATTACAGCTTTAATAGCAGCTCATAAATGTTTTGATTGGAAAGGTTGGGACGTCTCTCTAATTCCCCCCTTTGACGTTTTATGTGTCACATGAATCCTTTCTTCTTTATTCCTCATGTGTGGACCTCAAATTGCTCTTTACGCAGGATGAGTGCCACAAAAAGGATCCACAACAGACAGCGTCAATCTTTATTTGTCCCTGTTAAATGTTTTGCTTTCTCACTTTGTTTTGTCATGTCATTTACTAGTTTTTTATGTTCACCCTTCACATGTTTTCCTTTTTTGCCACAGCTACGCTGTTATTTAATGACCGAGGTGGATCTGTACCTGATCACTAGGTCGCAGAGTACCGATAATCGTTTTGGCTTTTCAGCCTTTACAGATGAGCTCATTTTCACCAGCGAGGCCTCCATCTGTGCTCCATCACTGACCTCTTAAAAGTGGGAGAAGCTGTCGGGAGGCAGACAGATAAGCCTTAACTGTTCACTCAGTCTGTGGGTCAAGTGTTTGATGTCAGGGCTGAGTCATGCGGCCTCCTCCCTTTGCAGATGTTTTTGTCCTCTTAAATTATCAACGATCCATGTTGTCGCCCACCCACTGCTGCTTTTTTTTTCAGCAGTCAGGTTGTTTTTTTCCCCTCATTGATATCAGAGGTAAAACTCTTCTGGACACAAAACATCTGAAATGGAGAAACTCCAATAGTTTTTTTTTTTTGTTTTATTGGGAGTATATTTTTTGTCTCAATTATGAGACCATTAAAACAAATGTTTCCTTATATAGTGTTTTAATGCACTAGGCTTTTATCCCTTTTTTCTTTTCTCTGTGGTTTAGTGACAAACCGAGCTCTCAGTCCATGACCCTAATGCTAATTCCTTATATTTTACATATAGATTGCAGCACTCAGAGAGTACACAATTTACATTTATTTTTTAAAAGTCTTATCTTGATCCTGAGAAGGAGCTTCCTCCAGTTATTCTGTCACACTGTGGGGTTGAAGGAGGGCATAAAAGCAGGACAGCCAGCAGGTAAAAGGCAGAGGGTGAAAGCCAAAAATAGCTTTTAATGACTTAATGATCTGAAGGTTCTGCAGAAGCAGAAAAACAAACATATTCCGATGAAAACAAAAACAAACACAGTGGCTCTTGGCAAAAACAAACCCAGGAGGACGTTTTCAGAGGAGAGTTTTCAGAAATGAGCAACAACCTGAAAACCTTTCAAAACTTTTTGATGGATGAGAAAAAAGAAAAGAAGACTGTGGGCATTCCACTTCGTAAAAGATTTTAAAGTTAAAATATACGTTGTCACTAGCAGATTTGGCTACTCACAAACGATTGAATCGAGCTGCGGGCTGTAAAGAAACAGTGTTTAGATGATCGATGATGGTTTAAAGTGACTTTCTTTGGTGGGAGGGGCTAAGATGAGATGGGAGGGGTTAAGGCAGAATTCATGTGAGCAAATTGGGAAACAGGATAAAAGAACCATAAACAATAATCTCCTGCTCTCTTACATTGTGGTGCTGCTTTCTTTACTGGATGTTTTGTTTGAATATGACACAGATTGCTCACTATGTTCACTTTTGTTGCATTAAGCTGTGAAACTTTGCTGAATAAATATCAGTTGCTGTCACTAAAGGGCTTTTCGTTGCAGGTTCGGCGTGGGAGAGTTCCATACGACAGATCGGCTTTGAGAGGTAAGAGAGGAATTAATCAGATGAGCAAATTCTGTATTTGGCCAATAGATGAGTCTCCCCTTCATTCACTGTCAACATTCATGTCTCCGGTGGTAGTTATGCTGCCTTTAGGGGTCATAACTGGACAGCAAGGCACATATTCATACTTTTAGAGGCCCCTAATGCAGACTGCTCTCTTACTGTCAGTTGGTGAAAGGGAGCTCCAAATGCTTCCCGATCCACAGCAAACAGCCTTTAAAAGCGGACGTTGTCCCTTTGCCTCTCGCTGGCTTATCTCTCATTCTCCATCCTCCATCTAGAAGGTTGCAATGACTGTGCAAACCGTGGTAGAAAACGGCCTCCTCCCAACAGCCGGCCCCTTTTGCACTGTCCTGCTCTGCGTTTTGAAATCCTCCGGTGCGGACAGTTAATAAAAGCTAAACCCACTTATGTTGGATAATAAGTCAACGGGGCTGTTTTTCAAAGCTCTCGTTGATGTCTCTGTTTCTGCATGGGCCTGAGATCCTATTAGACGGGCTTTCCTCAGTACGGGAATGTCCAAACTCAGTCACGTCCCTTTTCCAGTTCTCGACAGCCCTCGGTGGATAGTATACTAAAGAGTAAGTGGCGGAAGTCGGGGTCGTAAACACTGGATGCGGCCTGCATTTATCCGTTTGTGTTGAGGATCATGTACAGTGCATGTACTAAATTTACCTCTGTGTCTCATATGGAGGCGTCTGCAGAAGGTTTACAGCTGCTGTCTTTTTTTCTCTACCAGACCAATGCTGTTTCCTCAGGCCTGACCTCTGCAAACCCTTTACAAACACCAAATATTTATGTTGCGTCCGACATATTTAGTGAACTCCTATGTTGGTAGTTTTGACTCGAGTTTCATGGCTTATCCGTGCAATTAACAGAATAAAGACAGGTTTATAGCATGCAAATGTTATTATGATGCCCTCGCATGATAAATAACGGAAAGTGGGAGTCGTTAAAGTTGCTGGCTCAGCCTTTTTCACTGGCTCTGATGGTTTCCATCTCTTTCATCCATGTGCGGATGCACAAAGCTTCTCAACAATAAAGCTCTCGGAGACCGGCGTCCTTGATTAAATTAACCTCACCAGCGGCAGCCAGACGGTTCCTCTGTGCGTTTTCCATCACGGTGATCAACACTCTTCACTTCAGCTTGTTACTTTTAAAATCTTTACATCCACTCAAGGCCAGATTGAGATTGAGTTCTACTTGTAATGACCGGTTGCTTTGCAACAGGCCCGAACAGTTGGATTCTTTCCCCCTTTGTGGGCTGCTTAATTATTCCTGGAGCTCAGCGTGAAGTGTAAAGAAAACACTTACAGTAGGTGGCCCAACAGAGGATGCAGCATGACTGCCGTTAAACTGAAACAGAAAGGTTTTGAAACCTGTTAGCTATTTCAAAGACACTTTTTATTTGGTTTAATTAAACTTGCAATCATGACACCCCGTAAAACCTGTCCTCAGGCGGCACAAATGCATCGCACTGGATTTAATATAAAGCTGGATATCAGTAAAGCTGCCATGGCAACAGTCAGCTGCAACTGTTTAACCTCCCGTCTGAGCAAACCTTGTGGTATTTGCAGGTGACCAGACAAATGAAAACTGCCACAAAAGCTTTGTTTGCTAAGAGGAGACTCAGCGTGTTCGATTTTTGCTGATTAATGATAAGCAAAGGCTAAGAAACCCCGAAGTGCGGTTTTAACCGTCTATTTTAAGTTTGTTAAAGTTGATGTGGATAGAAAATGCAAAAAAGAGGACTAATTGTACCAGCTCCCTATTATGAACAAACTAGGTTGCCTTTAAGGGAGTAAACATGTTTTTCACAGATGAGTTAAAAACAGTAAATAACACCCTTCTCAGGGTCTTTCTGTTTGAATGGAATTTCAATCACTTGTTAATAGCAATACGTTTAAAACCAGCCTGCCTGATTTCATTAAAGAGGGTGGTGCTCCATATAAAAGCTGAAGCATTCGACACAACACGTATTAAAAGAACAATTAAGTCACGGAAAACTCCAGATTCCCATGAATTCATGTGAGGAGGCAGTGTTGCCTGAGATATTTAACTACCGCAGTAATATTTGTTCCCACGAGTGAGAGAAGACTTCCATACTTTGAGGAGGAATGATGAAAAAAACCCAACAACTTACAGTTCAATATGTGTATTTTCAAAATGTTGTTTGAAAGATTCTGAATTTCAAGACAAATGCTGAGGGCTGTGCAGCAAATATCCTATTTGTCCATCATCCAAATGAACAAAATGATTAACCACAAGACCCGCGATGCTTAGAAAAAGTACTTGATTAATTAAAAGTGGGTTGTACCATGTCCCAATTTCCGTAATTTTGTCGATTTTTTCGTTCTGGATCACAGCCTGCGAAGATTGCTTCAAATAAAAATATAAAAATAAAAAAATTGGATGATTTTGTGCGTTCAGAGCCCCCCCAAAAAAAACTGCCATTATTTTTCTGTTTTTGGTGTCTCCAGCGTCATTGGTGCTGATGCAGGGAACGGCATCCGAGTCTTCATCCCTGACATCGGCATGTTCATGGCGGGCTTGGCCATCTGGCTGCTGTGTCGCAGTCTGGTTCAGAAGAGGCCGCCGGAGGACATGGCCCAGTACAACGCCGACTTCGATGCCGAGGAGCAGGTGAGTTTCATTTGTGCTGTTAAGAACTGCCTGTCTGTCCCTCTGATGACTTTAAGGGACATTTATACGGGTATGAATATAGTAAACAAGCTGTGTTTTCAATGAAGCACGTTACCTATAAGATTATATGAAAGGCAACAGAGAAAATCCGTAAACTGGGTTCAGGTCCAGGTGATCCAGGTGAACAGGTAGGGGTCCAAACAAGCAGAAGGTCAGGTCCAAGGGCTGAATTTGCCATATTATTGTATATTTTCTTTTAAGGGGCATTTTTCTAAAAACTGAAGACATTTAGTCCTGAATTATGTTAGAAAAACAAAACAATTAGGCAACATCACTTCAAGTGTGGCTTCAGTGCTAACAGGAACACTTTTTACAGTTCTACACCGACAAATTATAGGGAGCTTTTTAAAAATATACGAGGGCCTCATGAGCCTGCCTCAGCTCATCGGGAATTATCACTTCAGAGGGAACGCACTCTTTCCAAACTCTGAGTCCGCCAGCTGTCGCTTACACCCACTCACCCTCCAACATGTTGTTAAAACAGGCAAAAAGTTCAGCGATCGACATGACTCACTATATTTATTTTCATTTTGAGGCAATTTCTAGTGAACAGTCTTTGCTACAAGGAGCCGGAGTTGGAATATAGAATTCTGTATGAGAGTTGATGACTTGGAACCCCCCCCCCCCCCCCTCATTCTCTGGCAAGTCCGTCTTTTCATGACTCAGTCTTAATTAAATCCACATTCACTTTCAGTTCGACTGCTCCCGCTGGCACAGATGGCACGGCTCCCCAGCACTGGGAAAGATCAGAAATTCCTTTAAAAAAGCCTCTTGTGGTTTACGTTTTCGTTTGTGAGCCATCGGAGCTGAAATGACTGCTTCAGTGTAGGATTCGTGGCACCTGCTCCTCTGGATGTCTTGAACCTCACACACACGAAGAAAGGCTCTCATGTTTCTCCTTCACCGAGGCCAAAAGAGGGGTGGGACACAGTCGGTTTAAAATAGCAGCCAAGGGGGAATTGACAGGACTCGATATTTAGCCAACATCTGGTTCCAGAAGAAAAGCTCTGCAAAGGAGAGCTGTAGGAGCCATTCAGACCTCGTATATAATCGCGTATGATCTGTTACAGGCTGGAATACCCTCACAGGGAAGTTCTCAGCCCGGAAAGGGCAGACACGGCGGGATCGTACTGCTAACACCACCTGTGGGAAAGCGTTTTCAGCACCATGGAGAGCTCTGACTGTCAAATGTATCTCTCAGTACCAAACCATTGTCTGTCACTGTGATGCACCTTTAAGGAGGAAGACGAGAAGCTGAGCCTGGATGACAACATCCTGCTGGAGGAGGAACTGGAGGCAGGCTATGAGGCTGAGGAGGATGAGGACAACGAGGACCTGTATGAGGAGGAGGACGAGGAAGGGGAAGAGGAGGAGGAAGAGGAGGAAGCGAAAGAGAGCACGAAGATGAAGATTCTGCGGCTTGTGGCTGAAGTAGCTTCCAAAGGGAAGGACATCATTGGGAACCTGATCACCACTGCGGGGAAGGTTGTGGTCACCATCTTGTTGGGAATGACAGGTGAGTTTTTATTTATGAGTTGTGTCGAGTTTTTAACAGCAGGGCAGTGACGCATTCCAGTTACTGTTACGTATCACATTTGTTACAAAGAGGAGAGTGAAATGATAGCTACCACAATCTATGACGTGTATAAACAGGATGCTGCCCGGATGATTCTAAACTTTATAGAGCGTGTAACTGCTTAGGCAGCCACTTCACTGCCCCCTGAAGCTCCTCTCCTCTGTGGCTGAGAGCAGTGGATGGTTTATCCATTCCCATCCCTTCTAAACTTCCACACTCTCCACACCTAGTGTTGAATGGGCCTTTCCAGATGTGCAGGTTTCAGTTTCACGGGCACTGATGCAGCTCCAAAGATGCAGGCTTTTGAACTGTTGGTGGTTTCACTCCTCTTTGGTCCAGAGAAATTTGGCTTTCACGATTTCCAAAACGAATTTAAAATGTTCATTCCTCTGGCCGCCCAACAGTTTTCCACTTTGCCTCCCTTACATTGAAGTGAGATGTGATTCTGGATCATGTTCGAATTTGGCCTCTTCTGTGCGTGGTAGAACTTTAACCTCCTACTGTGGATGGCAGGATTTCTGGAGGTGTTCTTGTGCCTGTGCAAGACTTTCCAGGACAGGCTCTGTTTCCAATGCCTGAGGGCCTGAAGACCAAAGATCTCAAATACTGATTATAAAACTTACACACAAAGAACATTTTGAATCCTTTGATTCTCTGATCTGTAAATGTTTTTTTTGTGAAGGAATATTAAATAGAATTTGCTCCAAATTTAATTATTTTCCGACCTTTTCAGGACCATTGCATTTCTTTGCATTTGAAACACTTTTAAAGTTACTAACCTTTTGTGACTTACCCTCATTAGTTATAATAAATGTTTAGTTTGGCTGTAAAGGTGTGTATCAGGTCTAGGTTAGCTGATAATTCAACACTTGGTTGTCAGTGTGTGTTTGTTCCTCTCTGTGTGGCCCTGTGACTCGTGGCCTGTCCAGGGTGTACCCCGCCTTTATTTCTAATAAAACAAAAGAGCCTCAGTAAGCCTCAGTAAGACTAAATCAAACTTTAAATTCTCAACTTTTCCCAAAACTCTGCTGATGGAAAATAAATTCTGTGGAGATGAGGACGTTCATTGTGTGTGTGAGTTACACATACATGAGCAAATCCTCACTCTCCATGAAACTTACTAAGATTTGTTGTAATATGACCTTTTCTGGGATTAGGCCAAACAGAAAAGGCCTCTTTGAAAAGAAATAATTTTTTTCTGGGTTTAAATGTGGCCGTGCAAACATGGCTGCTTTGTGGTTTTCAACAATTCTTCTATGAACGCTACCTAAACAGGCTTTCGCATTAGGAAAAGGAATTCATTTACGAGGTTATGAGAGGAAGGTGTCGAAAGTTTGTTCATTACAAGCTTTTTAAATGAAAAGCTTGTTTGAGTCAGCAATTTGAAGGACCTGCTGTTCTCCTCCAAACAAGCTCTAACTCAAGATTTGTATGAGGTTAACAAAGCTGGAATTATTGAATTATTTCACAATTCCTGCTAAATAAGCTAATTGCCCTTTATATGTCAGTAAAGCAAAAGTTCAATAAACGTGCTTTATTAAAGTCTCTGGAGGCCTGAAGATTAAACATAAAATGTCCAAAAATAGTCCTGCAAACCTGTTAACGTTTGTCTCAGATTTGGTAGCTTTCCTGCTGCCCTCTGCTCGCGGCCCTGGAGCTCCGTGTGTCTGGATCCAATTGAACTGCAGCATTCTGTCTTTTGTCGTTGTTCCGCAGGGATCATGTTCCCCTCGTTGACCTCCTTCGTCTACTTCTCCACTTTTCTGTTCCTGTGCACCTGGTGGTCTTTCTGCCGGACCTTCAACACGCTCATTTTCAGCTGCATGTGCGTGGTCATGGCCATCTTCAGCGCCGGACACCTGGTCCTGCTCTACCTGTACCAGTTTCAGTTCTTCCAGGAGGCGATCACGCCGACTGACACCTACGTCAGGTCAGACATGTTGGGTTTGTCTCCCCGAAACGGCACACATGCTTAGAAAGTTAGTGAGGAATGTCACATAGAATAAAAAGAAATAGGCCTTTGAAAATCCCACAGTGGGGAGAATGACTTGTTACGGAGGCATTTCAGTAGTGAATATAGAAATATGTGAAATACTAACACAAATAAGAATAAAATAAAAGTGGAGATCAGAAATATTGGGATTTTTAAATTAATAGAAGAATCTATTCTTTAATGCAAGATTATGTATGAAAAATGTACCAGACCTATTGCCTATTGAAAGAGTATAAAGATACCAGTGTAAGAATGGACAGGTAATAACTCCCATGTGGTGACATGAAAGGCACATGTGATTATTTACAGATTGTTTATATACATATTATATATGATTTATATATATTGTTATACATGTGATTTTCGAATAGTCTGATAGCAGAGTGGAAGAAAGACCTCCAAAAGCTCTCATTAGCTTTTTTAAGTAATATTTTCGTTAAAACATTGTTTGAAGATGAGCTATATTTGTATTATTTGCTGCTTATTTGACCTTTCAGAATGGGATAAATTAAGAATATACAAAAAACTATAAGTTTTTAGCTCAATAACAGTGAAAAATCTAAACTTCTGCAGTTCTTGTCCCACTTTTCACTTTGATTATCTGCTGAAATGTTCTGCCCTATTACTAAAGTGAAAACACACGCCCTGTTGGGATAGGAGGGAGCTCAGCAAATTTATTGCACCCCATTGAGGCAAGTTTGTTTAGATGTTAGTAAATATTTACTGCCGTTGCAAACAGGAAGGCAAAGGCAAAGTCAACCTTAGCTGGAGGGTAGACGTCTCAGACTCCTACTCACTCGCGCTACGTCGGGAAGAGAGGCAGGGCTTTTATGCTGGACCAGTGTCTTTTATTATGCATGAGGAAGAAGGCAATCAGAGGCCTGTGGCTGCAGCGGTGGAACGCTGTGGTCGGAGTAAAGCCACATTGTTGTACCATCTTGCCAACATATGTTAGTCACAGTCGGAGTGAAAGCTGACTCTGTACTCAGGGAAAGAAAAGACAAGCTCTCTTTTAGCGTTTAGCAAATCCGTTGATCCCGTTTAATTTGACTGTACACACAAATGCTTGTCTCACCGAATTTAGTCTCGCATTCATTTATTTATTTTTTGCCTTGATCATGGCACATAAGTAAAAAATGAACAAAAAGGTCCAAATAGGGCTGGAGAGGATGAAAAAAGATCGGATATTTTGTTTCTTTGAGACCGCTGTTGAAAAACGTCTGCCCTCATTTACAAAAACATAATCTTTTCCTCACTTTTATCTAGAGAATGTGAAAATATAAAGCACACAATATGTTACTCTTTATTAAAGGTAACACACGGTTGTGTTGTTCTTTGCATGGAACTGACAACCGAAAATTCATAGGATGCTGTTTGCCCTTAATTTAATATATTTGTATGTAAGATTTTATAAGATCCAGTGGTCTGAAATCACAGGTATCTACAACCCATCATGGAAATCAGCAGGCGTAGGTGCAAATAACTATTTTTATCCCTGAAATAGTTTGTAAATGCAGAACTACTAAGTTCACTTAATATCTGGACTAACAGGCATAATTTTCGCTGTAACAACGCAAAAAAAACAAATTTATTTACAGTTAACGGTAAATCAAACTGTTTTAAAAACCTTTTCTGCATTACAATAAAAGTTTACTGAAATGACCATTCAGAGATTGAGTCGAGGTGCCTGAATATGGACTAGGAGCAGTTCCATTGACTTGTGTAATGAGGTGTCTTTCAGCCCCCCCCCCGGCAGCTGCCGGGGGTGTGGCCGGTGTCCCAGTGCCCTTGGTGTTGCAGCGTTTTATCGATCTCTCAGTTTCTCATTTGAAAGCTTTGCCGCTGTGTGTGTGTCAGGATGGAGGCTATTTACGGCGATGTATAAACTGAAGCTGCCCCGAGCGAACCTTGCATCCTCCCTATCCACCTGCCTCCCCCCGCAGATAAGGCGGTTCGTTCAGCCTCGTATTGGCAGTCTCGCTCATTAAACAACGACCCCATTTGAAGGCCTGCGTTTGCTGTGGAGCTGACCCCACTGTACTGATGATGTAAAATATAATAATCAATGTAAGTCAACCAAAGAAATTTTGCCTGACTAGCTCTCGTCTTTGACAATTTCTACATGGATCCAAAACTTTGAATTTGATTAATTGCAAGCAAGTTTTTTGTTGGTGGAAGAGGACTAAGAATCTACTTTTGTTAGCAGCTGGAGAAAAAAAAGAAAATGAAATTTTTGAAATACATGCAAACACGCCAGTCTGACAGAAAGTGAAGTCAGTCAAAGTTTACAAAGTCAGTCAGACAGTCACAGACAAGTGTTATACTTGGATGTAACCAAGAAATAAGTAGATAAATGAAGAACGAGCAAAGGTCAACACACACACACACAATAGATAGATAAATAAACAGAGGGCGTTTGAATTTTGGGTGAAAGCCTGTAACATGTGAGACATATACAGATAGAATTTACTGCTTAATAAGGTACCGGTTTCCTCCTATCCATCGATCTACTGACACTGGAATTCTTGCCTTACTCATTTGCTGATCGCCCACTCACTTTCAGACAGCCTGCACTTTTACATTTGTGGGGCCAAATGGTTTTGAGGGTGGGGAATGGCATGTGCTGATATTTGACAGAATATGTTTACGGGGCAAATTCATCCAGCAGGTTCAGAAAAATAAATACTCCCGAAAAAGCCTGATTATAGAGGATTGCTCAGCTTGTAAACTCGCCTTTTTTAGGCTCCAGCTCCGGATCTTGGAATGCAGGTGGAATTTTTAAACATTGGACTCATTTTTTGAAAGGAGCGGTTCATTTGTGTGTTTAAAGGCCTTCCTTTGGAAAGTTTGCCATGGCTCTGACTACGGCTTGGTAGCCCCTTATGCTATGCCATCATCTCCCCTCTCACATGTCCATGTCGACTTTCCACTGCTATGAGGTATTTTGGCCCACATCTGTGTAAAAAGCGAGGCATGATGTGATCTTTGGTCATTCTCCTCCGCTCTGGCTGGTTTCCCCCACGCACACCTTTGGGGATTTAGGGTAAAGCTTTTAGGCCGTCGCACAACACGCCGCTGCCCTAATTGTCCCTGTTGACAGTGAGGCGGCCTTGCTGTGGGGATGGTGCTGAGTGAGACTGTTGAGATTCACGACTTCCACGGCACTTCCTGCCTCCCCGCCTTACAATGGAAGTCCCCAATCATGTGACCAGCTGGCCTTCCCATCTGTAATAAGAAACAGGAAACGTGTTGGGATCAGGAGAGTGGACACTCTTCCACATGACATACATGAAAAAACTCAAGAGGCTTCTAAATTTGATCAATTGTCACACTTACGTCAGAACTTTTCCTGAGCAGATGACCTTTGTTCTGCTCAGGAGGAAAAGAAGTGACCTTATGACATCCTTTGTTTGGCACAAACACATTCTTAAACCTGCTGCATTGGACTGGGTGGAAGAGTCTCTTGTTAAAAATAACTTTTTGAAAATCTGATGTCTTTGTTTCATAACCAAAATGTACAAAAATACAGTACACAAGAGTTTTTTAATCAAATTGAATCACATTTTACTATAAACTTAAGGAAATATTTAGTTTGTAGTAATGGACATCAGGAAATATTCTACATTCATTTTTTTTTAAAGCAATGTTTTTGACTATGTGAAGCTTGAATAGGTCTCAGAGGTCTGTAGGGTTAAAGGTTTAATTACATGTTGGACTGAGGACACCATTAGCAAATTGTTCAATTTATGTCTATGTTTTACATCCAGATTTAAAGAACTGCATCTTAATGACATTTAATGATTTAACTAACACCTCTCTTATGCCATATACTAACTACTACATTAAAATAAAACAAATCTGGACATATTCCTTCCCTTTCTTCATTTCTTTGGGGTGTGCTTGGACACATACAGTCCTCTTAAGGTTGTTACAAACCAAACTCACTCCACCTAACGGCTGCAGCCTCTTCCAGCAGAGTGTGTTTCTAACTAAACTGACAAAAACAGCTCAGGGAGCACCTGGAAAACATGATTTTTCAAAGGGATTTCCTCATGTCTACTCTGACATGTACAGAGATGTTTGTTGTGATATGATGGACGGTGTGGGCATTCCAGATCTTTGATGGACAAGTTCAGGTCTTTCTGAGCCAGATTCCTACCTTTGTCTAACCTGAGAAATGCTTATTGTCTTTTCAAAGCAGGAAGGACATAAAGAAGACCGTTTCTTTTTGCCTGCTGCTGTAGATTATTGAAAATACTTCCTGCAAGAAACGGTGAACAATGAGAAACAAAGGCAGAAGTTTCAGATTAACTGAGAAGCTTTAATATAAAGTTAAACAAGTTACTTGATTCATTTATATTTTTAAAAAGCAGGAACTTGCAGTTATATAAACTACCTAAATCACTTAACAATAAAAATTCCACTCATCCACACACATTGAATAAAACAGAATTAAATTATTTTGAATATACCCAGTCAGGAAACTGCAAAGTGAAATCTTTTCTCTCAGAACCACAGAGGAAGAGGCGGGCCATGGGTCATAACGAGCACAAAGGATACGTGAACAGACTGACTGTAAAAACCGGAGATTAAACCACCGACGCTGACATAATGGTTATTGGACAAACATCAGATGTCTCCAATTTAAAGTTGGAAAAAGGCTGCCTGGTCCCATTTCTTGCTTTCATTTCCCAAAATGGTGTCGAACCTTGTCACAATCAAAGTTTTTAAATTTGCAATTCTTTAGACATCAGTTGGTAACATTTGAGTTGCAACTTTCTTAAATTACAAAGGGGAAAACAATTACAACAATACGTACAATAAAAACCCAGTGTCTCAATGATAAATAAATAATAATAAAAACAAAACCATTAAAAATAATACAACAATCAATTAAATAGAGGCCCCATCGACCCTAAAACTCTCCTAAATAAAAAGCCTAAATCTGCTGTGTGAGTGTAAAAAGTGCATTTCCTGGTTCTGGTGCAACGGCTTTAAATCGGATGTAGGGAGCAGTGAACTGAGGTCAGGGTAAAGAAAACAGCTTTGAAATATAATGAGGTGCTAGACCGTATAAAAGTGATCTAAAAATGAAATAAGGGCTGCTTGGTGGCGTGGTGTGTGGTTTATAATCCTTAAAACAAGGACATATAAAGCTAATGTAATCTTCATTTTTATTAAGATGAAAACGATTGAACGTGTTTAAGTACTTGAACCCCTTTCTGCTTGAACCCCTTTTTGTAACATGTCTGTCTGCTCTGTCTCTGCAGTGTATTTGGGATCTCCCCCATTGTCCAGAGCAACTGCTCCTACACATGGAAGCTCATTGTGCACCCGGATCGTAAGTGGTACCACTTTGTGAGTCCCATCATGCTGCTGGTGCTCTATTACACCCTGGCCACGCTCATCCGCCTCTGGCTGCAGGAGCCCATCGACCAGCTGCTGGTGAGGACCACAAACAGACACAACACCACCGTCCGCCTTTTTAAGCGCAAAAACAAAGATGTTTTTAGTTTGTCATCAGCTTCGAATCAAATGCCTCTTATGGTTTAACATTTCTGCAGCAGTCTCCTTTGACCTGGAAGACAGACGCACGTTTAAAGGTGGTTTAAACTTAAAATTGTGATGCAATGTCAAGATTTTTGCCTAATTTTGTTTGCTTATTGTGAAAAAAAAATCACACTGATGCAATGCTCTGATTGTCTCTGATTTCCAAAGTGGGCGTATCTTCCTTGGGCTGAAATAGCTCCAGATTGGATTAAACTGGCAGCCAGTTTGCCTCCAGATCAGAGAGAGGGTACCGTTGTAGATTCCAGGACAATCGATCCCTGGCTGGATCTGTGTGCCGCTTACAGTCTGTGTCACATGAGCCAGTGTGGGTCTGAGTTTGGCAAAGCATGAAAGGAGAAGACGTCTTGGTGTTTGTGGGATTGTCACGGGTCATCTGGATGTAGTTTCAACTCAAACAAAACGTACTGAGACGCATTATAAGCTCGTCTCCACACGGCTTTACTCATCAGACGTCCTCAAAAAGGACTGAGGAACATAATATACCTTAAGTTTTCTCCTTAATTGTTTGGTTGATTTGATTTATTTAAATTGAATAGACTTTGGTCACTTAAGTGCTCTTAAATGAGAGAAAAAAACATTTGATAACCTTAACATAAACAGCAGATAAATAACAAGAGGAAATAGAGGAAGAAAAGCAGAAAACCAAACTGGTTTGTTCATGTCCAGCGTATTGAATGTTGATCCTTTCTCTCAATGGCCTGATTCTGTGCTGATATTCACACTTTTTCAGAAGCTAGGCGTGTTCCCTCCTCTTGTTTAGTCAGAGTTTCACTTCTGTGTTCAGCACTCATCAAATGACGCGCCACACGGTCATGAAATGACTCACTGTAATGGAGAGGATGCACCTTCCACCGTAAACCGCACAGCAATGATTAGCTGGATGCACGTTGGGTTTTTTCCTTAGCATTGCTGTTAGCTTATTTCCTGGAATTTCTGGTATGTGATTAAGCTAAGGGAAGTTTATGTACACGTTACAGTAAGTGCGTTTCTTGCGACCGGTTTTCCGTCAGAGATTTACGATCATAAGCAGATGTCCTGTAAGCTGCACATTCAGTCATCCTTTTTATTTTGTGATAAAGAACTTTATTTGTATCATATGCAGTTTTATACTTGCATATAAAATTAATAGTTTCAATGAATAAGTCTTGATCATGAGCTGATTTCTCGGTTATTTGGAGTAATTCTACATCGTAGACGTTATTGTTTTGTGTATATCTCACCATCAGGAAGCTATTTCTAAGCAAAAAAGCTAGTTTCAAATCTAAAACTTAAAGAATGACAGAAAAATGACCTGAGAAACACAAAAGTATTAAATTATCCACCTGCGAAGCGATCAAACTTTTGTTTGTGTTGACTGACCCATTCAGATTTGAACGAAAATCTACATTTTTTTAGGTTTTACTTTTTTTTTCTGCTCTGAATGAATTCTAGAGATATGTTCACATTCATGAAAACCTGCCCGTCTTCCTTCACCACGGAGCTGGAGGCTCAGCTCCTCCATCCTCTAATGGACTTATAGATCAGTGTTTTTATAGAGGGGTCAATACTTCCCTGCAAACCTGTAGGGCTGTATGCATTATTGATCCCTCAAGAGAGGGGTGTGTATGTTTCCACCGACTCTTACACTTTAGATTAAGGGCTAATAATAAAAATTATTTGTCCTTAGATCAACCACTGACAGGTTTGTTCGATGGCTGAGATTATGATGGGCAACGTCTCTGCCAAAAAGACGTCCAAATTTATAGTTCATCAGTAGTTAAAAAAGACAATGATAAAATAATCACTGATATTTCCCAATAAGACTGATGTGAAATCTTAGAAATCACAGGTGACATGTCGACTTTATTAACTAATTATATTGAATCCACAAGCGTACAATAGTCATTTTTTAAATAATTTAGCAGCCTAACCAGCGCTATAAACAAGCTAGCCCCAAACCTGGAGCCAATAATGAAACCAGTAACTCTTCTTTCGGTATTGATAGCTTGTTTTGCTGGAAACCTCAGTCACAGATTGCTGGGACGAGGGGCATCGGGGGGAAAAAGCACTATTTAAATTTGGATCTGTCTCTTAATTTGATCCTGTACCATAAATAAATGTCTTCTAATTATAACAATCCAATAGCTATCCACCCGTCCATCTTCTGCTTCTTATTCCCATCATTACCAATAACGCTGAGAATCAGGGGGAGCTTGAAAACCTTGGAGCATTGGAGTGAGAACTACCATTTTTAACTTTGGCAAGCAGAAATATTAGACATTTGCACCACAGATGTCCAATTAAGAAAATGCCATACTTTGATTTTTGTTGGAATTACTCAACTATTAAAGCAGCTATCATTTGCAAAAGTGTTAATTCTTTAAGCTTTTTCAAGATTTTTGATGGAAGAGTCAAGTCTTCTCCAAAAAAATCCTAAAGATTCTCATTAATGTTCATTTCGGGAATCTGAGGGGACGTCTCATGTTAACTGTGCCTTTCTTATTATTTCAGCTCCCGGAACAGGATATGTCTGCACACACCAGACCACATGAACCTTTTTTATGATCCACAACCACATTTTTATACTCCTTAGGTGTTATTTCCGGAAGCTTTAACTGTGAACGTTTGTTTTCACTTTTAACATTTCCGTGTTCTGCTTCTATTTGATTTCAGTTCATATTAAAAGTGGTCTCTGATCACAATCGTTTTACTTCTGACCGTCTGTGTTGGACAGCTCTCCGCTCGGTTTTATTAGTTTTGACTGTCTTTTTCCTTGTTTTTTCAATTTGATATCTTTATTCAAACAAATAACTTGACCCTTTGGAAGCAGTACAAACATTTCCACGACCTACACCACTTAGGCTGAAGAAGCCAACTGAAACAGATTGATAACTTATGTAAGGGACACTCTTACCAAGGTTCTAAGTTAAATTCAGCCTTTTTTTTCTTTTAGTCAGGCGTTCTTTTTGTTCTGGTTATTTGTAAATATTTATGGTGAAATCTAATGGGATAAAAGTAGCTTTCCCAGAAATTTAGATGGAGAAGATCTGAGTATACTTAAAAAGTGACGTGCTTTATGCAGAACAACACACACACGCAGATAACAAAGATGAACATTTTGATCAGCTGTCTCGGTAAAAAAATTAAGACACAATTTTAAAATGCTCAGAAAACGTGTGATTTTACAAATTCTTCCTCCATTACAAACTGAAGCAAACGCTTTTAGTGGATTACATTATGCTGTTTTGAAATCACCTCCTCCTTTAAAATGGCTCTCAACTCTTCAGACTCTGCCTTAAACATGAGCTGATTCCAGCCATGACTCTTGAGAGACGCCGTCCCTGCTGCACAACGGTGCATTTAGTGGTGAGATCAGCGTGGAGGCTACGCATCAAACACCAAACTGTCTATCTGTGTTTTCTCAGGACGACAGGGACGATGATATGTGTGAGGACGAGGAGCAGTGCGGAAACGGGGTGAATAGCTCAGCCAACAGGAAGAGGCAGCGGTGGTGGGAGTCACGCCAGGGCACGGACGAGAAAAATGTACGTGGGGATTAATGCACACACGAGCAGCGCCGTATTGATTATTGGACAGGTCATGAAATAAACGCCATTAAGTTAACATGTTATTATACAGTTCCCCGAATTGTATCCAGCTGCAAAACATTGTACGTGTGCAGCTCTAAACAGCCTGGAAATGATCTGAATGAAAGTCTTTTTTATTCATTCTGAGGTTTTTGCTTCTAAAAATCCAAACGACCCCCCTCCATGTACCAAAGCTAGAGCTAACGAAGGCTGCTACCTCTCACAGTGAAGCAAACCAGTAATGTTTTAGTGCGGTCCCAGTTTTCAGACAAACAGGAAACCAGCTCTCCAAACTACGCTGCCAGGGTTAATTGTTCGTGAGCTTGGTAACGGACAGTCCAACACATCACCTCCCTGACACGCTCACACACACTCCCCGGCCCAGTTCTCCGGCCCAGCGAGGCCGCCGTCCGTCTCCCGCCGCTGCCTCCTGCGGTCTGAAAGCTTTTAGTGTGTGCAGACTCAGATGAATGATGGGCTCGATTTACAGAGTAGCGCTGGCCGGCCTTTGTTCCTGCTTATCAGCCACTGCAAAGAAAAAGACCAGCTCTGGGTCCAGCAGCTCATCGATAACGCATCCTGCCTTGTATGCTCTCTCCTTCTAGCTGCTCTCCACCCAGGACGGCATCAGTACAACTGAGGTGCGGCTGCTCTGGATGTGTTCTTAAATCTCTCTGTCCTTTGTCCTCCCCCCCAGCCTTTCTGCAGGGAAAGCGATACCTGCAGAGTGCTTTTCACACTGCACCTTCATCCAGCAGGTTTCTGTCAGAGACACCTCTCATCCACAGTCAGTGCTTGTGTTCCTGCTGGCTCATGATTTAGATCTATTTTGATTTGTAAAAACCCTACAATTCTGTACCAGTACATCTATGGTACACAGATTGTATTGAAATGAGATTAGGTGCAGTGTGAAAAGTTGCTAAATTTCCCCACAGAGCCAAAGAATAGTAACTGAAATCAACTAAATTCAAAGTTAATCCGCTTTTAATTGTTAAAAAAAAACCCAATGAATTATTTTATCGCATGAGTTACTGTTTTTTGCCTTTTGTGGGGGAAAATGTTGTACGACAGCTCAATCCCATAACAGAAGTGCCCCTCTTGTACAGAGAATTAATTTGTGGAATCTAATGATAATCTGCAGGTTTTTCCAACCTCAAACGGGACATCGTTTGACTTCGTCACGAACAAGAATGGCCCAGTCTGTCCGGACCTGTACTCCACACCCCAGTACAAAATGGACCAGCGCAGTGACGATCCAGGTCAGCTGTTCAATATCTGCCACCACAAACCCCCACAGAACCAATAGAAAAGGGTCCAGATATTGTGTTGAAGTTATTTTTCAAGGCAGTTTCAAGAAAGCTTTATTATTATATAGCTTATTATTCTTTCTGCTTAGCACCCAAAACACAGGTAATACACGGATAAACATTTTAGGCCGAGTTCCAGTGGATAGACGATGGCTTTCTGCAGCGACGGAGGATAGTTTAATGTTTGAAACGTAACCAGATGAAGTGTTTTCTGTCGAAATAGAGAAGAAAGAAGAGTGTGTGTATGAAGTCAGTTTGCCACCTGAGGATTCGGCCTTGAAGGAGTCTGAGGATGAGGAGAACGACATTAAGAAACGCGGAGTCGGCGCAATGGTCAAAGTCTTCCACTTCATCATGAAGCAGAGCTACATCTGCGCCCTCATAGCCATGATGGTGAGTCCTGCAGACATGTCCAACAGAGAACTATGTTGCAAACAAACTTATGGGGGGAAAATCATGTATGTAAATTTTATTGGACGCTTGCTGTTTATATGTATTGTTAAGATGAACTTGAACACATTCTCTAACCAGACAGAAAGATGTGAAACCTAGTCCCGCTTTTTCCTGCTCAATCAGTTTGATTAAGATTGATTTTTCAGAAGGTTTTCGCCTGTTCACTGTCTGCTTCAGAGGAACTAACAAACATGAAATAAAATGTTTTAGTAAGCAGATTTAGACTGTGGATTTCTGTTCATTTTCCATACAGGATAAAAAGAAATTCTTTAAATAGTTTTGTTCTTTTTCCACAAAGTGCCTGGTGTTAGTAGATGAAACTAAATAAAAGGAGGCTAAGGAAGTTCAGTAGACTAAAAACGCCCGCTGTGGGTCCTCTGCAGGCGTGGAGCATCACGTACGTCAGCTGGCTGACGTTCGTCTTCCTCATCTGGTCCTGCGTTCTGTGGATGGTGAGGGACCGGAGGCGGTATGCCATGGTGTCCTCGCCCTTCATGGTCGCCTACGGCAACCTGCTGATAGTGCTGCAGTACATCTGGACCTTCGAGAACATGACGCCCATCTCTGGGTTTTTCGTTCACAAGAAAAACCCCTTCCACTCGCTTTCATCTAAGGTAATTAAACAGTGCACATGTGCCCTCCGGTTTTTTTGGGACCCATGATTGGCTCTCGTTAATTTGAATTAAACTGACTAATGCATGTAGTTTTCTTTTTTCTTCGTGTTATCGTTCTATAACCATTTATTTATTATGTGTAGATGGTGTGCATGCTCAGCTTCTGGCTGCTGCTCAGACAAACCCTCACAGAGAGACAAGAAAAGCAAAAAGAAGACAGTGCTGGTCTTTCTGATGTTTGCGTAGAAGATCAGAAGAAGGGTGAGCCCCATCTTATTTTGTTCCTATATCAGTTTCTGATTTGCCATCTGACACTGGTTAATTATTAAGAATCTTTCATTTCTTCATGAAATATTTGACTTGGAAAAAGTACAACCACTCACTCTGGTGCATTTTAACCATATATCACTTCTGAGTGTCATAAATGTTTTGTAGACTTTCGGACATAGTTAAGTTGATTCCTGACGTTTGCATTTTTGTGCTAATGTGTCCAACTCCAATTGGGTGTGTTTTGCATTAAATTATTTCCAAATCGTGAGCACACAGAGATTTTCCCTTTTTCCATTTTAAATTTATTTTGGTCTCGAGAAGACAACAGATTTTCTGGGTTGTATTGATTTATGGGCTCCTTTCATCATTGAGCTTTAGCTTGGATTTATGCATCATGACCTGTGATCATAGAGAAAGACTTAGGGTGTTTCGGATTTCTTAGGAAAAAAACCTGCCCGAAAAATGATGATAAAAAAATCTAAGAAACCATGATTGCTTTTAGGATTGTGACTTCCTTAGGTAATGATTACGCTTTCATGAAGAGGTGTGTCACAAAAATAAGGATCCAAACACCTTGTTTGATGATCCAAAAAAAGACTGCTAACAAATATGCTACATTTTGTAGAGGAAAGGGAGTCTGAGGAGGGAGGAGAGCAGGACATCGTCCAGGTTCTCGGCAGCATGGTGATGGCTCTGTTGGTCAAATACTGGATCTACATCTGCGGCGGCATGTTCTTCTTCGTCAGCTTTGAAGGAACCATCGTCATGTACAAGATCATCTACATGATGATGTTCCTGTCCTGTGTGGCACTCTACCAGGTACAGCACACACCAGCTAACAATGTTGAATGCCTAATCAATCCTAAGTGAAATATTTGTCCGACTTCTTGTTGCATGCTGTTTTTATTTATTGTGGAACACTGTTTTTTCTTCAGTGTTACCCCTCACTCAACATTATATCTCCTTAGATTGGACAAATCTGGGCACACGTCCGTACAATTAGCTCACATTCATGGAGGGGGGATTAGTTTATTCTTATTGTGATCCTTTAGTTGCTTTATAGGCTTTTTGAAATTTTATTGGATGCCCTAAAAAATGTGTTATCAATTAACTGTTGCTTTTTAAAGTGAACCTGCAACGATCCTTCCTGCTTTGTTCTTATATATTAGCTGCACAACTTTCAGAACCCAAAAATAGTTTTTACCTATTTTCTCCTGGGATGCAGTCCCCTGGACATGAGAGGATTCTGCTGAAGTATTTTTAATTGGTGAAACTCCTTTTGGCTCTGCTGTGGAGGAGGTGATAATGATGACTCATGAACGACTCCTGTTTCCACTCAACAGATCATAAACAACCACAAACTTGTTGTTCAGCATGTTGTATACAGTATGTAAAATACGTGGGCGTCCTTAATGAAAACTGTGGATGCTTGTGCATGGCTCCATGTTTCTAAATGGTTGGACAACAGCAACAAATGAAAGAGCACACAAAGAGCAAACAAAATAACCCAAAATATCACTAGCACCGTTGAACCTGGGATGTTTGCACCAAAATAAAATTCAGACTTATTCCCCCTCTGTTGGAACAGTAACTTGCTCCTACAACAAACACAGTGTTTTCTGTAAAATCTTAAAGAAAAGATCAAGCATTTTTATCTGGACATCAAAAACTATGACTTGATAATGGCTAGGCTGTTGATATAATAATGATCATAGATGAAGGTTTGAGAGAAGTGGATAAAACAAAGTGCTCATATCCAAATTTAGTATAGGAATGCCTCTTCTTTTCTAACTTTGTGGGTGTTTAAGATAATTAGACATCATTTAAATATTACAAATAAGCTTTAAAACAGCTATAAGCTATTCGGGAGCTGGTGGTTTTTGTGCAGTCTGGCTGCTAAAAGATCAAACACAAAGTGAACTGTGAAACTGTGAAAGTCAACATAGACAAGATTCCCTTTACTGCATTTAGATCAACACTGATCATGGTGGAGATTTCTCGGCCTCCACAATGACCGTTATTGTTTCGTAGGTGCACTACGAGTGGTGGAGGAGGATCCTGAAGTACTTCTGGATGTCAGTGGTAATGTACACCATGCTAGTCCTGACTGTGGTCTACACCTTCCAGTTTGAGGGATCTGAGAAGTTCTGGTCGGGTATGCTGCACGTAAAGAACGAGAGGTGAGCTCCGCCGGGGGACATTTTACCTCATGATGGGTCATCCTGAAGTTGAACGAGACAGTTTAAAACAGTGAAACCACCTGTAGAGCTCGAGCACTCACCAACGATAGTTCATATTTAAGTAAATTGGTGTAACTGGCATTAAGCTCATACATTAGCATCTTCTTTACTGTAGTCAAGTATTGCTTGCAGTTCCTATTATTGTGTGTTTAAGGGTTTTACATACGTGTCTGTTCCTCCAGTTTCTGATGATGATCAAACTGTAAAAACTGTCAGTTTAGCCACTGACATTAGATCATAAAATTACTGTACTATTATTTATATCTCCATTCTGTAAAAGGCCTTTCATATTCATATCAACATTTCTTATTAAGCGCTCTATTGAACTATTTGAGCCTGCTTAAATGTTGTGGTTGTGATATTGATCTGCGTATCAACTTATACATTCACTTCGTCAGCTGCTGACTCTGCATATTTATCCCACCCTTTTTTTTTTTAGCCTTCCCGCTTTGGCTGGAGAAAGTGTTTTTCACTGTTCAGCCTGCTAAAAAATGTATGACGGTGTTGGTTGTCTGCTACTACCTCCGCCCATTTTACACAAATGTGCAGATGTCCAGTCTTGGAAAATCTGAGTTGACCTGCAGAGCTGATTTCAGGGCTCGTAGCTCCACTGAGCCATCTTAGCTCCAAAGCTCCTGGCACGGGACGTGACACAACCACAAAACGATAAAATATCTCAGCGACAAGTGTATCAATAATAATAATAATTGATAACAATATAGTTTAACTGAACTGCTGACTTTAAACTTTACTGAGCTTCTAAAGGGGATGTTTGTTTTTGCATGGTAAAATGTGATTAACCTCTGACAATTTAATTATTAACAAAATTATCTTTAGAAAGTTGGGATTATTTTCTTCCTCTGGATCGTCACATATCCTGTTTTCTTTCCTTCCAAATGTCTCTCCTGGATGCAGCCTGAATGACCTGGGCTTGGAGAGGTTTTCTTTGAGCATGCTGTTCACCAGGGTTTTCATCCCCACCTCCTTCCTGCTGGCGTGCATTCTCCACCTGCACTACTTCCACGACCGCTTTCTCCAGCTCACAGACCTCCAGGCTGTGGTGGCCAAAGAGCAAAGCACAATTTACAGGTGAGGCGCCTTTTAGCTTTTTTCTGATTCCAGCCACCATTGAAGACCGTGACTTTCTTTTTGTTCATACGGTGGTAACACCGGACTTCAAAGGTCACATCCACATTTTCTCTAATATTCCTGCCTCCATGGGAATGAAAAACAACTGAGATACAGATTTGTTTCCCCATCTTTCTCTGTTAGAATGTATTGCACACCCATCAAACATTGGTCCTTGTTCTGCGCATAACATCAACATCTGTTTAAACAAAAAGTTTTGTTGTGCTTTGAGTTTTTCCTGGTTGCTCTTAGCTCAGCTGCCATCTCTCCTCTGCCACCCTTCTCACACAGCCACGATAAAGTCAAAGGGCGTGTCAATTTGATCATGAATAGGTGGGTACTGCTCGCTTTCTGTGGCATCCATCACCACCCCACTTCACCTCTGACTCTCAACGACTTCCCTCCTACCCAAATTCTCCCTCTTATCTTTTTTTCCTTTACACTGAAGGTGATGTACATGAATAATATTCCAAATGTTTTACGTCCAGATTTTTTACAAAACGTGATTCATTTCCTGTTTTCAGCTTTTTCCAGGTTTGCTTTTTGGTTTTGCTTGTAGCCACCTCTTTTTGGATTTTCCTTCGACCCACTCTCTCTAAATCCCGTGCTATTAAAAAAACGGTGTCCTTTTCCTTGACAGATGACCTCTTTTATTCAAGCATGTTTTAATCAGCAAGAACTTCTTCTTCCCTTTCAGTATCTTGTCAATGACAACCCCCATCTGTGCACTAAACCCCCCAAAATGACCCCCTTTCCTGAAAGAGCCCCCACCCCCCCACCCAAACCGCTGGATTCTTGTGGCCAGTCGATGTGTATATGTACCAATGCCTACTCACGTTTCAGCTTTCCTATGTTAGCGCTCCTCCTCACTGTTCTTCTTCACCTCTCTGTAACTTTATTGTCCTGAGCAGCATCAAAGAAAAAATTTCCTCTCAGCAGAGCAAGTAAGTGTGATCACTGGACAGCAGAGTGCCTGCCTTGATATGCATCCGGTTCCTGTAAACCCTGACTGTGTCCCCACTCCATTGCCTGAGAAGACTTTAAAGGGTTACTACCTCCCTCCATCTACTCTTTACTTCCCGCTAGAAGAAAATGGCTAACACATCGTGAAATGACATGAATCGTTTGGGAGAATGCAGACGGAATGTGCACTGCTTTTCAGTTTCAATGCCTGATGAAAAGCTGCTCTTTTATTCAGGCCTGACCAAACCCATCTGAATGTTTGCACTGGAGCCTCTTGACAATCATCTGGACCGTGTAAACGAGCCCGTGTATTTATATGCTTATGAGGACTGGTTTGTAGGAATTGGGACTTTCAAGTTCAGGTTTAAACCCCTTAAAACTTATCTCTACTCATTAAATGTGTAATTTAGAAGTTTTTAATGACCTCATCATGTCAGTTGCAGTTTGGTTTCCAATGCTCCCTTGCTTACTCTTATCCACTTAATTTCTTGAATTTCCCCTTTGCAGGACAATAAAGGCTGTTATTCTAACTCTTTACTATTGTAGGACGGTTGGCAAGTAGTCAAGTGCACTAGATATTCGCAAAACACATTTTGTAGTTTGTTACACATATAACCTTTCCTGTCTGAATCCTAAAAAGCAAAAAATCCACAACCACTGCTGAAAACCCATGTTTTTCCTCACATTATGTCTTCAAACAAAAAGCGCTACAGAGACAGATTAAATCGATGTCCATTGGATGTGGCTTTTAAGATCTGATTCCAGTTACTTTATAATCTTGAGCTTTTAATCAAAGGACAATCAGCAGAATGCAGTAAAAGACTTGAGGTCTTTTTACAAGCCAGTAGAATAAAGTGGCAGCCATTACACAGCTGTGCTTTACAACCAACTAAAGAGAGTACAAAAGAAGCACTGATCCTTCAATATGGCAGCTCTTTAAAGGTGGGAAGTCTAATCACCCCGACATTAACACATTTCTAAACATTAAAAGTGTCAAATCAGCAGTACCAGGAGCACATGAGGGTCTGGATGTCTCTATATCCAAGTGTCGACATTAAGATAACAGCAGAAACGTCTGTTATCGCATAAAACACACAAATGTTGCAGCACATACTGATCAGCTATTGTGAGTAAAGTTACCTGAAGTTTTTTTAATCAAGTGGGCATGTTGCCATCGCTTAAAATCGATCAGATTCTGAACAAAAAGGACCTCATAGAGCTCTAAAAAAAATGGAATGAACTGCCTGATGAAAAGGTTTATCAGGCTTGGCATTACGCTAGTTGTCAAAATAACCAAGGACGAAGACACAAAAGTGTGTCTGGTAACACAACGCGGTAGCGAAGATCCTCATAAGTGTATTAATACAGATGTGTGGAAGTGAATGTGGAAGTTTGTCTGATGGTGTAAAACCTGATGTCCTCAGACTGGTGGTGCCGGACGGCAGCCTGGCCGACCTCACCATGCTCAGCGCCAGCTCAGTGGACGCCGCGCTGCCCAAAGAGGAGCAGGAGCTGCTGCACACCCCGGAGGACCGGGGGGGGTGGGACTCTGGGAAGGAGAGGGAGAAGGCCCTGATGGTGGCGATGGACGACATCGATGTGACCGGCGAGAAGCCCAAGAGCTTCTCCGACCAGCGGCAGTCCAGCACAGAGAGCCACCTGTGCAGCGCCGGGACCGAGCCGGAGCCCAGCACGGAGCAGAGCTCAGGTAGGGGCCAAAGCCGGAGCAGAGCTCAGGTAGGGGGCCAAAACCGTAGGGGCAGCTCCATAAACAACAGGCGGAGGTAACCGAGGGCCGGCCATTGACAGGCCTCATCGTTCAGTTTTATGGAGCCGTTCCCAAGCGATCGGTGATCAAACAGTAAAGATTTTCTGTGTGACAGAGGATGATGAATTGCGATATGCTGTTTATGATGACAGTCGGCTGCTGTTAAACGATCGGATTCGTCCTGCCAAAGCGGGAGACACATTCCAAACCCAAAGCCGACCCCTGGATTCTGCCTGTTTTGCGTGGAACCAGATGCAGAGATATGAATCCAACACAAAAGGCAAAAAAAAGGGTTGTGTGGAGTAGCAGGACCACGGCTGTGACAAGGCAGAGCATTATTTATCTTCATTCAGGAGTTTCTGTCAAACTAAATAACAAACCTGGATTTTTGTCCATGTGCTCTGCGCACAGATGTGTCCAGATGCTTCTCGTAAAGCTTACAGTGGATTCTGGCCTGTTCAGAGTGTTGACTTTTATCCATTTCTGTGGTGCAGGTTTCTGCAGATTGTTAAACCTCGGCCCATCTCTGTTTTCTTTTTTTTGTACCCAATTTTGCCATTGTCCAGTTAACCTGGTCGCAGCTGTAAACGCATACAGATCTGATGGAGCCCTCAGACTGAGGCCTGTGCTGTGTGTGATGCGACCACACAGACATGTGGGAACTCTCAGCATCCCACGTGACGTGGCTCACGGCCTCTTCTCCTCGTATTCGCGGCGGTAGTTACTCTTTGCTTTGAGCGTGGGGAGCAATTCTCCCTAATCTCTCTCAGGCAGCCTGCACCCCGGTCCGCTCAGAGGTTTGCGGCCGGCAGTTTTTTAGAGGCCGAGGCTCCAATGCAGCAGGCGTCAGCCGCCTGCACACTCGCTAGCCGGTCGTTAATCACTGCCAGAGCAGTGATAAAAATGCTCCGTTGTGCAGATTTCGGGGGTTCAGCAGATTTATTTTCGAGTTTTTGGTTCTGACACAATGTGTAACTCAAGCGCTCACTTTCACGCTCCTGCTCGGATAAACTTAAAACTAAAGTTGAGGACAGTCCAGCTAGTCTTAAATTAAAATGTACTTTATATACATAGAAAACGAAATAGGCAATAAAACACAGCCCTGCAGGACCTCATAGTTCATAACGGGCCGGGTGCTATACGTGCTAAATGCAGTTTCTTATCCAGACAATGAAGCCTCTATTAAAAGCAAGATAATGTGGCCTCTGTAAAAGTATAAGGCCCTCCACTCTGCCAAGGTTTAAGATTTTATATTCATCTTTATGAGAATATAAAACCAAATATTAAGTTATTCATTTTCAGGTCATTAAAACAGCAGTTTGGAATTAGCTTGTTAATTCATTTTTTGAAAGCCTGTTCAGTTCAGTCTTGACATTTTAGGGAAAAAAACAACTTTAACGACACTGAAATACATGTGAAAAACATGTAGAAATACCAAAGAAAAGTGTATAATTTTATCTGGTTACATGTGCAGATGGATTTAGAAGGTGCTACTTAATCTTTTTTCTTGCCTTTGACAGTTTAGCTCAGTTGGACCCTGATTGTGGGCCAGATTGGCGGTTCGATCATTTATTAATGCACATAATGCATTAATAAATGCACAATTTTTGTGTACTCCTCTTTAGTTTTGACACCATTGAAATGCGTGTGGTTCTCATCTCTTCTCCCTCAGATTTAAAAAATAAATGGCACCTGGTGGTGGACCGCCTCACCGTGCTCTTCCTCAAGTTTCTGGAGTATTTTCACAAACTGCAGCTGTTCATTTGGTGGCTTCTGGAGATCCACATCATCAAGATTGTGTCCTGCTACATCATTCTGGTCTCCGTCCAGGAGGTACGAAAGCTTGAAATTCCTGGAGGGAAAAAGATCGCATTCACCTCAGTGGGTGAAGACGATCGATAGGGATTGAGGCCTGTTGAATATTTAAAGGACGAGCCTTTCGGTTCCTCCTCATCACAGGCTGGAGAGGTTCAAGACACCTCTGTCACTGTTTCTAGATAGATAGATAGATAGATAGATAGATAGATAGATAGATAGATAGAGTAGTTAGACTTGTTTTTGAAGTTCTCTGCAGTACATTTCAAAGGCACAGGTGCTAAAATTCAAAGATAAAAAGGGAGTTTTTTGTCATGTTGTTTGTGTGCTCGTTACATATTTTGTGTCTTGTGCAGGTGTCTTTGCTCAACTATGTGTTCCTGGTGTCCTGGGCCTTTGCGCTGCCCTTCGGCCAGTATCGGCCCCTGGCTTCCAGTGTTTGCACCGTATGGACGTGTGTCATCATTGTGTGTAAAATGTTGTACCAGCTGAAGACGATCCAGCCCCCAGATTACAACTGCTCCATTGTAAGCACCACGGGTCTTTATAGCTGCCTCTGTTGTCACAATCCAGTTGATTTGCAGATTCTGGACATTTACATAACTTAATTTGACTTGGTTCAAAAAATAAAAAGTTTGGAGTAAAGGCACCTACTGTTTTTTTGTCTACAGCCAATCAGCTTCAAGGGAGAGAAAAGGGCTGAGATTGAGGGCTCTCTGTTGTATAAGGCTGGTGATCCAGGCAACTGGGTCGGCCTGAAGAAGGACAACGACCTGCTGGGCTACCTGAGGGTGAGAACCAAATTACAGCTTCTCTCACTTTGGGGGGGGTTAAGTCTGTAACATTAAGCTTAAATATTGTTATTATTAATCTATGAATTATCTTTTTTTCTTTGTGTGTGTAAAAATGTGAAAATCATAAATTACATTTTTAGTAGACCTATCCAGTTTCAATATTTTGGATTCATCTACAGAAATAAGGCAGTATATATCTGAAAAAATATGTCATTCAAAAGTGGGTAACATGGGGTTAAACATGTCAGTGAAATAACAGGAAGGAAAACAATATCATGAAGAGATAAAGCTAAAGTAGAAAACAAATAAAACATCAAATTAATAAAAAAGGCTTGTTTTTCTTTTGTGCATCGGTTATAAGTTTGTCAAATGTGTTTGGATCTGTGGTCTGAGACCCAAATGCAGGTTTACAGACAGGAAGCCAACAGACAGAGGACAAGAAACCGCTTTAATAAGAACATACAAATATTAATTGAGGCCAACAATAGGCTGGATGGGGGGGGGGGTGGTAACTTACAGAACCCAGGCGTCAGGAAATAGGACTGTGGACAAAGGAAAGTGATGTAATTAAATTAAACTGGAACTAAAGGTGACTGAAGAGGGAAAAAAAAAACGAGAACCTCCCAAAACCAAGAAACGCATCAAACAAAATCAAGGAAATGGAGAACAAACACTCAAAGACTCTGATTTGAATGATGCGACAAAGTGGAGAAACACAATGAAACGGGAATTTGTGGTGCCAGAAGTAAAAGTTTACCGGTATATGGGAAAAGTCTCAGGAGTATTATTTTTAAACAGCACAACAACTTTTAATAAAATGTGTTCATTTAAACAAAATAAACCAAGCTTTGAATTATAGAAAAACCCTAGAGAGATGTTTTTTAGTATGTCCTATTTCAAGTTTGGTGGAAAATTATATTTAAGCTATTTTTAGATACAGGAATAAAAAAATGGGACTAATTCCTCTCAGACAGGCTCACCTATCCTCTGCAGTTTTTGTTATAAAACTTAAAAAATCCAGCATTCTGGTCATTCGTGCTCTGCACTCGTTGCAGAATAACCTCCTGATGCTGGCTCTGTTGGCGTTTGAGGTGACCATCTACCGCCATCAGGAATACTTCAGAGTGAGGAACAAACTGTCCCCGCCTGCTGCCAGAATTATCTTCCACGACATCACGCGCCAGCACCTGGACATCGGCATCATCTGCTTCATCAAATACTTTGTCAACTACTTCTTCTACAAGTTTGGCCTTGAGGTAGATTGCGCCGGGTCCCCTCGTAGGTGCACGTCTCATCTCCCCCTGCTCCATCACCACTTGTTATCCTCCTCTCTCTCAGACATGCCTGCTGTTGGTGGTCAATGTCATTGGCCAGCGAATGGACTTCTATGCCATGCTGCACGCCTTCGCCCTGATAGCGGTCATGTTTAGACGCAGGAGGAAAGCCATTGCCGAGATTTGGTCCAAGTACTGCTTCTTCCTGTCCTGCATGCTCACCTTTCAGTACTTTGTCTGCATCGGGATCCCGCCGGCAGCCTGCAAAGGTTTGTGTGTTGGTAAAAGCCGCGTTGACCAGATGTTTGAAGAGCTTCACACAGGCTTGTTTCATTATTGCCAAAAGAAGTCTGTTCAATCACCACCACAAAAAAGAAATCTGGTTAAATGTTTCAATGTGATCAGATTTATTTTGAGTAATTCCAATTATAATTCCATGCTTCGAGGTGCTAATTCCAGGCTCCAATTTGCTGATACATGCAGACAGTAAATTAATTTGTGTGATAAATTCAGACCCTTGTTTGTTTCACATCTGCATCTCGGGTTAGTCCTTCCTTTAAAATAGCTACAATCATAAAGCTGATGGTTGTCTGGGTTCTTTAAGCATGTCTGATGATGTTTTTTTTCATTACAGACTATCCCTGGAGGTTTCCAGGCTCGAACTCCAATGTGATCAAGTGGCTCTATGTCCCAGATTTCTACATGAGGCCTGATCCATTTTTCCTCATTTGTATGTTGTTGTTTTTTTCAACAGAGCATTTAGAGGAGTAAAACTAGGCTCGGCCTGTGGTGCAGCATGTATGCAGTTTGGTTATTTGGCTATTCATGTGTTATTCATCCTATGAATGTGTCATTATCACTGATAAGCAGCCTTTTCTGTGCCGTAGTTGATAGAGATAGAGCAGGTTTAGACTTTCAGTTCGTCATATTTTTTTTATTAAATTGATTAGAAATATAGAATTAAAAGTGATCTAATTGCTTTATAATTGTCTTTTAATCAAAAGTATGAAGTTTCTTAAAATAGACTCAAATAAATAAGCTACAATTTTGAAGAGCAGAGTAAGTTTTGCTCATAGAGAAAACATGATGAAACAGGATTAAGATGATGTCCCTTTCAGCTAAATGAGTATTGATTATTTTGTGGAGATATCTCAGTTACAAACGCTCCCCTCTCTTCCCAGACGACTTCATGTTGCTGCTGTGCGCCTCACTCCAGAGGCAGGTTTTTGAAGACGAGAACAAGGCAGCGGTCCGCCTCATGGCCGGAGACAACGTGGAGATCTGCAGGGACCTGGACGCGGCCTCCTTCAGTGTTCACAATCCTGTGCCCGACTTCATCCACTGCAGGTGCTGCAGCCGTCACCGAGCCACTACAGCTTTTAAAATCCATCAAACCCTATGTACAGTGCATGAGTTTAGTCCATTTTCAAATTTTTGCTCAGTTTTAGCTACAATGGTTTTCACGTTGCTATATTTGGTTTCGATTCTTGGCTCAGTAGCCATTAGGAAATAAGATAACTCTGAAATGGAGAGGAAGTCAGCTAGACAGTGTAATTGATGTCTAATTATACGAAATGCAGTGACCTCAAGCTGTAATGTTCTCCACACTCTCTGAGCTATTAAGACCAATTTATTGAAGATTTGTGGTGGCGGCATTTATTTTTGAAACACAATTTCATTAGCCAGAAATGGAGCTGAAATGTCTGTGACGGATATAGGATTTATAAAGCAAAGACCGGTTGATTTGGTATTGATTTATCCCAGCCTTCATCTGTTTCCACTTTCGGTCACCTCTGACTAAACTGTCAGAAGTGACTGAACATGTTCGTTCTGAAAAATAGCTATTGGTGCACATCTCCTCCCAGATTTGGGTCTCACTTCTGCTTAAACATCACCCGCTTCCTGATATTCATTTAGCAGTTTTGGATGGATGCTGCTGACAGACAGATGCGTTTAAAAAGAAGTTTATTAACAGAGATTCACATTCAAGTCAGCGCCTGTTTGACCCTGTGAGGTCCCAAAATGTGTGTGTGTGTATAACATGTATATATATTGTAAAAAAAGTCATTTTAAAAAAGTAAATAAAATAGCCCTAATATTAGGTGAGCAGGTGAGTAGTTGAAACTCCCACAGAACTTTTTTGCTGCCAACAGTGTTTATTTTCTACTTATCAGTGAAATAAATATTATTTTTTAAGGCCAGGAATTTCTCTCTAACTAGCATAGTTTTGCCTCTGCCAGTAAAGATTATTCCGGACTGTCACAGGCTGGTGAGCTGCATGGATAGAGTCCACCCTCTGCAGTAACAGGTGGCTGAACATTCAGCGTTCGTGCCTGAATTTTGGTTTACAAAAGCAAGTCTGGTCCCAGATAGACAACAAGCACCCGCCCCCCTCCACACTTTTGTCTAGTTGGGCTGCTCTGTGGTTCACACAGTGTAAAATAGCAAATAAAGTGGCTGCATTTGGCTGCCAGTTTTACAGCTTAGAGCTCATAAGTGGGGCGGGTAGGGGGGGGGGGGTGGATACAGACTCAGTCAGCAAATATCTGAATAATATCGGAAAGAAAAAAAACAGCTAAGGCCAGCTGCCTTGTGAGACATGTTCTTAAATACCCACGCTTTACATCATTTAGAGTCCTGGCTGGGGTTCGATATTCAGATCCAGAGATAGACACTGACTTTGCACATGAAAATGAGCGAATCGAGAGGGGGAGATGAGAGAGAGCGGGCCAAAAAGACGATGAGAGCATCCTGACCTGTCCACAGTCATTGATTACGTGCTCTTCGCATTCCACTGTTTTGATGTGCAAAGTGGACAAGTCTTTTATTAACGCACTCTGTGTCCATCAACAAGCCCGAGTACAGAAAGAGAGCTGCACAGCCCGTCTGTCCACGCCACAGCAGCGCTGCACTTATTCCATCGTTTCCCTCCAAGATCGAATTACGGACAAAGGGTGGGGGAGAAATCCATAATCCACAAAAACACTCTGTCCGTCACTCTGCAGCTCAGACGCTTTCGCCCTGTACTCTAACTCAATAAATAGCTTTCAAGTATGGAAAAGGTATTTTCTCCCCCATGATGAAAAAGGACACTCACTCAGCTGTTCCGGCCCATCAACGCGCCGCCCGATCCGGGCCCACTTCATCAGAGCCGCTGCTGTGGTTAATGCCCCCTCGCTTTCTGTGTTTTTCGGTCCCAGAAACACTTTAACGGCCTCTTCCATGTAACACGGGAGGCATTTGGCATGCTTTTAGCATGTGGGGCGTGCAGGGCGTGCAGTCGGCTCCACGGGCCAGCACCAGGAATCCGCTCTTATTCCCATTCGCTGACCAGACTCTTACCGGTTCCCAGAGGCTAAGTGATGCACTCTGAGTGATTGATGGCTAGCTTACACACGCCGTAGCAGAATGAACTGAATTGTTGTTTAGACTCTGATCACTGGGAGGGTTAAATGCATCCTCACCTGTGGTCTGCAGCGTCTGCTTCCATCACTGTGGACCTACAATCGACTCAGGATCTTTGGTATTTCTGTAAATAAACACGCGTGTCCATGCAGTTGGAGGATAAAAGATTATTCTTTATCTGGAGCTCAGTTATTCCACCAAATGATTTTGTTTAAAGGTTCTCTTGGCAGGTTTCAGTTATCTCCCACACAAAAAGCTCAGGCATGCTTGTAGGTGTTGTTTTAGTTTTTGTCTAAACATTTAGATTTATGCACAAAGAGGTCCCTGAAATTGGGAATAATAATCTTGTGAGGTCAGTTAGAGGAAAATAGGTAGGATCCAGCGCAGGTTTCTCGTGTTTACTTTGAATTCTAGCCACATGTAGCTTTCTTCCTCCAGGTCCTACCTCGACATGCTCAAAGTCATCATGTTCAGCTACTTGTTCTGGTTCGTCCTCACCATCATCTTCATCACGGGGACCACGCGTATCAGCATCTTCTGCATGGGCTACCTGGTGGCGTGCTTCTACTTCCTGCTTTTCGGAGGCGAGCTTTTGCTGAAGCCAATCAAAAAGATCCTCCACTACTGGGACTTCCTGATCGCCTACAACATCTTTGTGATCACTATGAAGAACGTCTTGTCAGTGAGTAATCTTGAACAAACCAATTTATAGCGCTGACTGACATTCAAAGTTTGAAGATTTAAAAAAATGTTCTAAATTCTTAGATATAGATGCTGTCATATAAACTTTTCTAATCTTTGATTGTAAAGTGAGATGTTGCTAAATGCGTGCTGTTTTGGCAGAAATGACATTTAAAGCATTAAAATGAAACACTTGATAAATGCAGTGTCCAATGAAGGTCTCTCGTTTGCAGATTTTAGCTTGCGGCTACATCGGCTCACTGATGGAGAAGCAGTGCTGGTTGATCCAGGTGTTCAGTCTGGCATGCACCATCAAGGGCTACAAACAAAACACTGATGAGATTAATCAGGGTGAGGCGTTGCTTAAAAAAAAAAATACTTTGGGGAATTTTTCCACTGAGCACAAAGTTTGAATGAAGGCTGTGTGTCATAGCTGGACTATTAGGATGGGTTTGTAGCAACAAATGGATTTCTCGTCTGTGTGTCCAGGCCTGCCTGTGTTCTGCGACCTGCCCAAGGACGAGGCCGGCATCATCTGGGACAGCATCTGCTTCGCCTTCCTGCTGCTGCAGAGACGGGTCTTCATGAGCTACTACTTCCTGCACGTGGTGGCAGACATCAGAGCGTCACAGATCCTCGCCTCCAGGTGAAGACGGTGGTCAGACGCAGATACCCGAAACCCTTTTTTTTCAATAGAAATTAGCAGAGTGTGGAGACGGCCAGTATTAATCCTGGAGCTACCGGATTTATCTCAGAGAGTACAGCTATTCATGCTGTTACGGGATTGATTTTTTCCTTTTGTGTGCTACATGGTTAATAGAAAAAAATTAAGTCCACGTTCTTTCTTGCGTTTATTTGATTTTTTTTTTACTGTTTCCTTCTGCCCCCGGGCCTTTGTGTGTTGAGTGTGCATGTTCTCCCCGTGTATGCGCGTTGTGGTCAGTGTGTGTGTTTTCTTTATAAAATATGTATAAATCTGATCAATATGGCAGTATTTCACAAGATCAATTGCTCTAATGATAAAGGTTGAAAGCTCTTAAGGTTCAGAGATTTATTTCTTTTGGATAGCATGTTTAGAACACCTGCAGATTCAAACGTAGAAAACAGATTTTGTTTAAGAGGTGAAACAACCGTTTTGCCCCTTAAATCTACAGTATGATAAATGAAGGTGTAAATCGAACATGGGCGCACTGATGTTTTATGGTGGCAAAGCCTGAAAATAGAAGGGCAGAGCCGGCATTACAGTTCAAACTGGTGCTGAGCTCTGAGTCTTACTGGTGTGTGTCTTTGTTGCAGAGGAGCAGAGCTTTTCCAGGCCACCATCGTGAAGGCGGTGAAAGCCCGGCTGGAGGAGGAGAGCAAATCTGTGGAGCAGCTGAAGAGACAGTGAGACTCTCAATGTTTAGGCCTCCTTCCATAAGACAGTGTGTGTGTGCCGCGCTTGATCTAACACAGCCTTTAGTTTGATAAAACATTACAACTATCACGCATTAGTTAAGATGTTGCAGCATATTACCATTTTTGTCATGGAATTTGAAATCTATCCTGTGCACAACTCTCCTGATCTGGCCTCAGCTTTTGGAATTGTTTGAAAACCAGTCTCAAATGTTTCTCTATGATTTGCGGTTGAATGCAACTCAGAGATCAGCGTCTGCTGTTTTGACTGTTGCGTCTGCTCGCTCAGACTCAGACTGTGAACACGGTGGGCGGAACACACACATGTAGGAAGGCCTCACAATAAACCCTGCACGTGTGCTCATGCTAAAGAAAGAGGCTTCGATCCAGATGCATCGCGGGGAGTTTTTGGCTGTAGTTACGTTAAACGATTGATTACTCAGCTGAATAATGGAGACGTTCTCATTGGCTCTTTCAAGCCAAGTGTGCAGCATTCAGCCTCTAAAGATAGAACCTTAAGTCATGCGTGGACACCTGTAGAGGAAACGCATTGCATTTATCTGGAAAATCCTAGTTGTTTTCTGTTTATCCTGAGTATCCTGTCAGCTTGCAGCCCACACACAGAGTTCAAAACAGGTGCATTCATAAATTCCTTCTGAAATGGTCAGAACTGTAAAGCTATAAATACACCTCCGTAAAATTTACAAAGCATCTGTTCGAAGTGGAGCTTTTCAGTCTCTGTCCAGAGGTCTCTGGTCTCAGCTGTGGTGTGAATGCTGCCATTTACTGCACGTGACTATGTGCCAGTGTTTTTTGTATTTTTTTTAAAACTCAGACAGTGAACGTTGAAGGTTATGGATTATTATTCCGGCCCTGTGGCAAACCGTTTTCCCCTTTCACTCCGAGAAAATGTGCGTTCCAGCCAAACAGTTGGTTTCCTCCTTGGCTTGTTGGGCAGAAAATGAGCTCTGCAGCTTAGAGCATCTGAGGCTTTAGCTGCACTGGCACCTCTTGGCGGTAGTGTTGATTAAATATCTGTTTTCTCTGGAATTTTTGTTGTTGTTGCTTTAATCTGCTCAAAAAGAGTGCAGATGTACCTAAATAAGTTTTCTTAATGAGTTGTATCGGTCTGATTTAGAACATAATGTAGTAAACATGATAGGTTTGATTCAAAAGTGTACTCATCATTTCCTGTGTGCCAGCTATTAGTGCATCATACCATATAAAAGCAGTATATTTAAACTACTTAAAGTTAGCTTGTGGGCCACTCATGAGCTCTGATTGTATCCACTCACCCTCTCTAGTGAGCACTTCCCTGCAATGTACCATTCTTTTATTTCTTTGAAGCCTCAGGATGTTTATTGTCCATCTGTTGTGATATTCCTCTTTGTCGATACTTGTGTGTCTTCACCGCCTCTCTGATCTAATCAGGATGGATCGCATTAAGGTGAGGCAGCAAAAGTTTAAGAGGGGCAAGGAGAAAATGCTGAGCCTGGCGCAGGAGTCTGTGGAGGGACAGACAGTCGCCCAGCCGGAGGAAGAGGAGGACGATGACGGTATGACACACCCCGCTGGAGCCTTGCTTAAAAAGCTGGCGTAGAAATGGCCGGATTGGCCGTGGTGCGGTACTCCAAACAGTGGGATCAACAGCTGCCAGTGAATGCATATTGAAAACAGAACTCAACCACGTGTCGTAACTATGTTGCAATTTGAGCTAAAACAGCACTGTTTTGGAGTGGAAATATGATTGGAATTATGATTTTCTCATAAAATGTTGCACTGATGTATTTGTGAAATTTTAGGAGCACGGCGAACGAAAGCCAAGACCAAAAAAAAGCAGTGGTGGAGGCCTTGGGTTGACCATGCTTCCAGTAGGTTGACCACCCAAACCTCTTTTTTCTCTTCCTCCACTCTTATTGGCCCTTTTGTCCTTGACCAGAACGCTGAGGATTCCCATACTGTCTCTGGGCTCTGAAGGCACCATCACACATTGGCCCTGCTCCCTCCAGACTTTAGTCCTTTTCTGTCTCTATTTAAGGACCCTTGCGATCTGCAGCTCTGGTGCATAACTTCGCTCTGCATGTGTGGAGTGGTGCTTCGGTTTTTGAAGATCCATAAAATTATGTAAAATTGGAACAGAGCGCGGTCGCCTTAAATAGACACATCAAAACAACGAGGAAAGAAAATAACTAACGGCTGGAGGTTTGTGCTCGGCGTTGCTGGGGGCTTCATCATCGGTCAGTCCTGAAGAGCCCGCAGTAGAGAATCACTCTGTTGTGCAGCACTTTCAAGCAAAGGCATGAAGTCGGCCCGCTTTTGTTCCACTTACCGGAACAAAAGTCGAAGGGTTCGTTCATTCTTTGCCAGCAGACATGGTCACCAAACAGGTGTCAATCTGAAAGCTAAAAAAAAATGAAATTCAGACAAGCTCACGTCAAAATAAAAATGCTGAATTCGTAAAGGTGTTGCCTGTTTGGTTTGGAACTCATGTCTCAATCCACCCCCACATGACATTTTCAAATTCTTTTATCTCTTTGTCATTTGATGTTTCATCTTCATTATCCCAGCATCCTCCCTCATTTCCTGCCCACTGTGGTTCTGTTCAAGGACATAGGTCAGCCTTGTCTACTCTATTGTGACTGACAATTAACCTCTGTAGTCTGGAATCATTTAGCTTAAAGGCAACTGTGCATACTGAGAAAAGGGGACGTTCATTTAAATATACATTATAACAAGAAAATTGAATGTGCTGTGTATTTTTGTTTAGTCTTCTCATGTTTCTAAAATCTCTTCTATAACATTACTAACATTTTTAGATGATAATTAAGAAATTAATTCTATAGATTTAAGTGGTAAGTGGTTTGACTGTGTATTTTTTATGTAATGTCATGAAAGAATTGAGCAACCTTTGGCCTCCTTTCAGCAGAATGTAACAGCGTTTGACCCTTTTCCCCTCAGTGGTTAGAAGTGGAGACTACTACTTGTTTGAAACAGACAGTGAGGAGGAAGAGGAAGAGGAGGAGAGAAAAGATGACGATCCACAAAAGAAGTCGGCATTTCAGGTGGATAATTAACAGCTTGGTTTCAGACTTGAAAGGAAAGCTCTGTCAGTCTGCAATCAGTTTTTATGTTCATTGGGTTTTGAGTTAACATCATCCTGTTCATTTTATGTTGACCAGAGTGTACAGATCGCAGGGGACTGTGATGACAACATAAACTGGAAAAATGCAGATGCTGTATGGAGAAAATGCAATAAGAACTTAGTTTTGTTTTAATTCATTTGCATTTACTTTTATTAAATTACCAGACACTTCTATCCTAAATCAATCGCAGGGAGGACTTGAACCAAAGTCCCTGGTTTAGGAGGCCAGTGCGTCCCCATTAGGAGGAAACAGGGGACCTATTGTTCACATATGAACAATTTAAAAAATCCATTTGACTAAAACACACAAATATGGTGTTTTACTCGAATGGAACTGTTTGTCTTCGTGTTTACAGCAGGATTTTTTTTTTCCATTTGACTTTTTAATCATTGGAACAAGGGGGAAACTGAGTCCATTCTTAAGAAGTAAAGGTTTCAGATACTCTGCACTATGGGGCTCTTGTTGCCTGGTTCCTCTCCCGATGATGTTCTGTACATTTTCAGTAAGAGACAGATGGGGACCGCAGAAGCCCCAGTTAATCACACATAATCTGTATTTATGAAGCTATGCTTTTAAAAGCTGAGCCAAATGAGCTGCCATAACCACAGACCTGGTGGGAAAAGCGCAGCACCTCTGCACAAACTCCTGTCTTTGGCAGATCGGTGCACACTGGATGATCTTTCTCATCTTTGGCACCTCGGATCTGTCATCATTTGCAGGACAACACATGTACGGTGGAAGCGAAGGGAAATGTCTTTAAGATCCAGGGAGGTCCAGTTGCCTTTATTCATGCAACGCTTCTGCACAGGCCTGATGCGTGTGAGACAGTCTTTGGCCACATTTACAGCTGAATATGTGGAGTAAAAATATATGCTATTTAGAAAGATTGTATTCCATTCAAATGTGTTTGACACAAACCGGTTAGACAAAACAAATTTGTCCTTGCTTAGAAAGAAAAACCCCCGTCCCAATTCCCTTCTTTGGATCAACCACTGGTATATCAGACCCTCGCTTTGAAGGAGTAAGGGGCCCCCTTAATGGTCCATCAACCAATGAAAAAGAGTGCTGTTGGCCACTTGGATGGATAAATGATATCCTAATGAAAAGGGGCACCTAACCTCCCTAAAGGTGGATGTCATAGTGGGGAGGATTTGGGATTGTGGCTAGGCCGTTAGTGGGGCCTTGTTTTATACACCTTAATCCTCTAAAAAACGTTTAATCATTGAACCATGAGGATAACGTTACTCTTTGTCTTAGTTGTGTAAGATTGCGAGTCACACGTTTGAGTTTTATCACATTTCAGAAAATCTTGTAATCACTTGGTTAGCAGGATGCAGTGCCTTGAAAGCACAAAAAGAGAAAATTTCCTTCCTTTAAGCGACAGAATGTTGAGGCTGTTGAGGTTTCATATCCACTTGAAGACACAACACAGTCCGTAGCACTTCAGCTGAGTGTACCGCAGGAGACAGCAGACCTATATTTCATCGTGTTGTTGCCACAACGGCAGGCTTTTTCTCTGACCTATTCCTCAACCCGTATCCACAACCCCACCACACCCTGAGATGAGCGGGAACCGAGGGAGGGCGAACGCAGATCTTTTTATATCTCCAAGTGTCATCATGTGATTCATATGCTCTGCTGATCTATGATTTCTTATTTCTGATTTCTTTTGGATTTTCCTTACAAGTTTCTCTCTTGAAGGCTGCTGTAATCACGTAGTGGGGTAACTGAGATGACACGCTTTGACACATCTGTTTGGATTTCGACTCCTCCTAACACACTTAACCTCCTCTAACAGTTTGAACTCTCCCCCCACTAATCCTCTGCCTCTCTGTTTTCCCTATCTTTAGCGAGCAGTCGGGAAGTTTGTCTCGGCTGTTCTGGCTCTGCCCAGGTCTATCATTAAGCTGCCTAAAACCGTACTGCAGTATGTAGTCAAGGCAGGCAAGGTACTCGCACACTTCTCGCACAGCTTGCTCCCCGTGTGAACCTCTGCCGGGCTTGAATAACAACTAGATAACTGGTGTTCCAGCTCAAGTTTGATGTGCACACCGTTCCTCTGAACCCCAGAGGTGCGCTCTGACGGGGAGCATCCAATCTGACCTGGAACGCTGACGCTTTCGTGCTGCTCGTGGTTTCTGTGGTTTTCTTTTTTGCTGTTTTTGCTTTTTGTTGTGTGCATGACTCAGTTTTATTTAGAAATTTGAGAATATGTGGGTGTTTCCTGAGCTTGTATGTGTCATCCGCTGTCTTGGAAAAAAGAAAATTGTTGCCTACATAGCAAATTCAGCATTTGATACGGGCACTTTTCTTTTTCACTTTATCATAATATTTTAGTGGTTGGCTGTACTTCAGTACAGAAACAGAATAACTTTTTTTTTTGTTTCCACGTACCGATCAGAACTCTGTCATGCTCAACTGTTTTGAAAAGCACATTACTCCGTGACTTTACTGAATTTTTTATTAAAAATTTAGTCAAGGCCCATCTCAGTCTGGGAATAAGTTTTTCTACATAAAAGGAAATGGAAAAAAGTTTAAGAATTTATCGCTGATAGTGTTAACAAGCAGACAATCCCTCTCAAATCAAATAATAAAAACTTGGCTGTCTACTCTTCACCTCTCAACCTGTGTGAAATAACAGAAAAAAAAACACACCCAAATATATCAGAAGTACTTCCAAAAATGTGTTCTCATGGCAACAAAAGAACAAAAGGAATAATTTCACATGTTTAAGCGTGTTTATTTTTGCAAACATTGAAATGTTAACTTCTATATAAAAGCTAAAAAAGGGAGACAACTTAATTTTATGTTTTTATTTCTAAAAATGTCTTTATGCTGATGGGATCATCCTTATGTTAGACCTGCTGAAGGAAATATATGACATCAGAATAAAGAAACTGGAATAATTTATAGGTAATACACTTATTATAAAGTAGAGCCAAAATATGTAGATCAAAAACCTGCTGAATATGTTATGTACAGCTCCCTTAATAACACGCTGGCAATAACTAACTCACGTCATTTTACTGAAAGTAAAATTTGGCTTCCTTTCCTCCAGTTTCTTTACCAGGCCTGGATCACAGACCCCAAAGCTGCCATGAAGGCCCGAAGCAAAGACAGACGCAAGTTTTGGAAGAAATATACCAAAAGAGTAAGACACAGAAAGAGCAAGAAAGATGGTAAGAAATGTCCCAACCTGAAAACATCGAACATGTTGTGGCGGACCGTAATATTATTCTGATGATATTACTGAAAAAAGTTCAGTTTCTACCAGAATTGTGTCGTTTTTCACTTTTGATCTGGACAGATAAGGTATTTGTGCTGTACTCCAGCAGGTCACGTCACCATAGAGGTGGGAGAGCTGGCTGACGGACAGGAAAAAACAGAGGGGAACAAGAAATCTGGTGGTCCAGGTTAGTTTCTTAGTTAGTTTCAGCAGGATCAAAACTGAATGTTATGATAATGATATATCCACTGAATGGGAAGATGTTTTTTTGTATTAACCTGCCTCATGTCCCTGCTGCTTCCCCCCCGTTAGACAACATCATCAAGCGAGTGTTCAACATCATCAAGTTCACTTGGGTCCTCTTCCAGACGACGGTGGAGAGCTTCACCAACTGGATGAATGACATGTGCAGGGAGTACATCGACATCTCCACTGTGCTGCGAATCGAGCGCTGCATGCTGACTCGGGAGGTCAAAAAGGTGGTTAGGGCTAGAAGTTAGCACGCAGGATGGAGAGCACGGCGTGTCCCCTGACCAGCGCTCACTGTTAAGTCCTCTGCTTCTGCCAGGGCAACGTGCCGTCCAGAGAGAGCATCCACGTCTACTACCAGAAGGCCATGAGGCTCAACATGTCCAGGCAGGCCAGTTTGGACCAGCTCAGTGAGGACGAGCTGGCCTCGGGATCCACAAAACCACGGCGGAGACGGGCGGGCGACCGGATGGAGAGCCAGGACTCCACCGCCTCCAGAGACAGCATCTCCAGGTGCGTGGAGCCTGAGGGGGGGGGGGGGGGGGGGGGGGTCCAAGAGTCTCTTTTATACTCAGGGTGTCTTTGAAGAAACCACCTCATCTCCCTGAAAATAGTCTCCGGTGTGTCTCCATCTTTCAAAAATCATTTGGCTAAATGTTTGAAGCAAACTAAAGAAAAGAAATAAAACCGCAGTAGAATAATTTATTGATTTGATGACTCAAACACAAAGGCTTTATTTTCCGCCATGTTTTTTCAACAGTGTTTTCATTTTCATAAAGTTTGATTGCAGCTGGTGTAATGACATTACCTCAGCTCTTCTCTTGTCATGTGTTATGTCTTCCAGTGATTTCACTCAAAAGCAATAAATACAACACATCTCACATCTCAACTAAAGTATTTTAGATAAAAAGCATAAATATAAAGATAAACCCTGTAACGACAATAAAACCTTCACTCTGAAAAGCCTAAAGATTGGTTTCTTCAAGGATTTTTGTCATAATGGATCAATGACATTTGTCAGTCCTGAAATAAGTTGCGCGTTATTTCGGTCAGCTAGTCTGTAATGTTGTATTTAAAGCTTTAATCACCACAAAACAGAAGTACGTCGGGTTTATGTCATGCACTGCCTGTCAGTCCCATCTCATCCTTCTCCCTTGATCATCCCATCTCACCACCTGTCAGTGCCTGCACTGAGGCCACCATGCTGTTGTCTCGCCAATCCACCCTGGAAGACCTGGATCCGATGCCTGAGAACGTTCCCAAAACCAGCGAGCGCGCCCGACCCAAACTGAAAAAGATGTACAGCATGGACTTCTCCAACTCGTCCGGGGAGAGCGGCAGCAGCTTCATGTCCAGGTGCCCGGCCTCTGCACCGCCTGCACACGGAGCGCGTCCACTCAGTGGCATCACTGCATCCCATGTGTTCCCCATCGGCCGCCGCTCTGCTTGGCTTTTTCTGTTAGACCTTGGTTTTGTCGGTTCTGTTTTGGATGGTCGGCGATTTTCAATTTTGAGATATATGCTTTCTCCTCCTTTTTTTTTTTTTGGACGGCGCATCTGAACGAATAGACTTTTGAACATGAGTGTGCGTTTGTCCTTCGCAGCGAGCCGACTCAGTGCGTCATCCTGTACTCCAGGCAGGGCACCACGGACACCATAGAGGAAGTGGAGGACGAGCAGGACCAAGGGGAGGACAAAGACCAGGTTCCCTGGGAGTCCGGACAGTTTGAGGCGAGCGTGGACGCCGAGGGGGAGCCGTGGAGTGAAGGAGAACCCGGGCAGGGGGAAGAGGAGGAGCAGGAGAACGAGGGCTCGGGACATGAGGGGGGCGAGGAGGGTGAGGAGGAAGAGGAAGGAGAGGAGGGAGAGGAGCAGGAAAGAGAGGGGGCTCTGTGGGAGTCCCTCAGCCCAGACGAGGGCCCCTCCTCCAGAGCAGAGGAGGCCGATTCTGGCACCTCCGCCAAGGAGAACGACTCGGTCAGCGAGGGGGAGAGCGAGGGAGGACGGCGGGGCTTCGCGCCGACCGAGGGTCAGGCGGCCGCGCTCCACACCCCCGATACCGATGCCTCCAAAACCTCCGACGCCGAGGTGCCCCCCAGCTACAGCAAGGCGGTCAGCTTCGACCGCCTGGAGCTCAGCGACGACGAAAGCGACACCTACCGGAGGAGGCGCATGGTCATGACGTCCGACAGCCGCTCGGACAGCAGGTCGGACATCATGCTGCCCTCCATGACCACCGAGCTGACCGCCAGCGAGCTGCTGCTCAACAAGTGAGTCCAGAAACGAAGTCGAGCAGAGGCCGGACGCCCAGTTGGGTTGGGCCTTTTGTACCAGCTGCTAGTGTCCAGTTGAAAGAACCCGGTGTGTCACCCTGTGTGTTCAGGATGTTCTACGACGAGGAGCTGGAGCGGTCAGACCACTTCTACCAGGCGCAGCCTCTGATCCTGCAGCTGGGCTACGCCCTCTACAACATGCTGGTGGCTCACTCGGAGTTCGTCTGCTACCTGGTCATCATCATCAACCACATGGTGTCGGCCTCCTGCGTGACCCTGGTCCTCCCCATCACCATCTTCCTCTGGGCCATGCTGTCTGTGCCCCGGCCCAGCAAGCGCTACTGGATGACGGCCATCATCTACACGGAGGTACTCTCACCCCGAAAACACTCAACTCTGGAAGTAAAGTTTTTCAAAGCAATTCATCCCGACTTGATGGGGTTATGTTAATCTTTGATTATTATAACGGCCTGTGGGCTGGAGGGAAGTGAGAGACAGATCTATATTATTTTTTTAAACCATTTTATGCCTTTTTAATCAGTTTACTATAATGGGTCAACGTCATATATAAATACAAGCATAAAGGAGGGTATAAAATGAAAGATTAAAGCTTTATTTTTCTCAGGTTCAGTTGTAAAACACTTAATTCATACTCTTTTGTTCTTTCCCTCCAGGTCACCATTGTCATCAAGTACTTCTTCCAGTTTGGATTCTTCCCCTTCAACCAGAACAAGATAGACAGAAATAAACCATATTACCCTCCAAACATCATCGGCGTTGAGAAGAAAGATGGTTACGTCCACTACGACCTGGTCCAGCTCCTGGCCCTTTTCTTTCACAGATCCATCCTGAAGGTGAGCACTGACTCTTAAAATGTGAACAAATACCACACACAAAGATAAATGTCCAAGAAGATCCAGGTTTTCTGTTTGTGCCCATGGAATTTATGAAAAGCAACACCATTCAGTCAGTTTTTCTAAAAAAATAACTCCCTGTATTGCTGCATTTCTGCTAACAGCTGTCATGTTTTTAGAAAGTACTTTAGGATTTAGGATTTTTTATCATAAAAAAGCAGCTGTTCTGCATTGTATGATGTTGAGCAAGTGTTCCTAATTAGGTGAATGTATGCAATTTAAAGATGTAAATCCTTCATAGGGGTCTTTAACAAAATTTCTTTAGACATTTGACCATACATGAAGCTTTTCCATAGCCCAGTAAAATCTTTATGGGTTTTTTTATGTGTAATTATGAAATTGTATTGAGAAACGTTTGAATGTTACAGAAAGCATGAAATATCTTTGATGAATGTACAGAAAAAATAACTTTTATGGGCTCATTTGAGTAAAAAAGGACCCACAACATTTATTTTCATAAAGCCAAACTTTGCTGGGTTTTCCCATCCTTTGCTGTGCGATACATCTGATTTTGCCTCAATAGAACCTGATTCAAAGCTCACCACAGCGCTTTCTTTAGAACCAACAGCAGAGTAAAGCAGTTATTTTCCTTCTCAGTGCCACGGGTTGTGGGACGAGGACGACCCCAGAGAACGGAAAGAGGCCGCCCGCCAGAGTGAATCTGAGGATGAGGGGAAAGACCGGGAGGAGAGCGAGAAGGAGTCTGAGCCCGCTTCATCGCTCATCAACGAGCGGAGAGGGTCCACTCACACTTTGAGGTCCATAAACTTTGGGACCTCCATAGACTCAGGACATGTCCAGGTACAATACCCGCAGCCCCAGACCTACCAGCGACGCCCCAGCTCCAGCGGGGGCTCTCATGTTTCCCACCGATCTCGTCTGTCCTCCGCGAGATCCAAAAGAGGTAAAGGCTCTTCCTCTATTCACTTTCCATTTCCTGCTTTTGCACGATTGTTGTAATTTGGACATAAGAAGATTACTTTAAAAAAGTCAACTTTTTTAAGAAGAAGAAAGTCGGTGTGTTCATAACATTGTGAAGTTAAGTAATAGAATTGCTTTTTGCACGTACTGGTAACAAAACTCTCTCAAAGGGCGCCAGTGACCTGGTGCCTCCTCACGGATCATTTCCAGCTCAAAATGTTAATTGTTTCCACAGGAAGTGCCACTTCCCACAACAGCAGCCTCAAGGACGGCAGCCAGGCCAGCGTCCAGCAGAAGACGCGCAAACAGATGATCATCGAGAAACTGAGGGAGCAGCTCTTTAAAGCCAAAGCCTTCCTAATAAAGCGGTAAAGCGACCCGGCTGTTTAGATCCTCTCAGCTGCTGGGTCGGCAGCAGCTCTGCTAAAGGCCAATAAGATGTTACGGGATTGATGAGAAATGTGCTCAGCCAGTGTTCCGGATGAATGACGTCATGACGCGTGATATGAGCGAGACAGCAGCCAAAACCTTTCATGGATCCAAATTTAGACCTTTAATTGCAGCATTCCCGTCCGGCTGCTCAGTGACATTTTTGGAAGTGCTGCAACAGACGATCAAAACTCATTATTTTTCTAAATTTAATCACGATGGAACGAGTGGTTTCTGAGATCTTATGCCCAGAACAGTAACTGAAACCCAAATTCTTTCTCCTGTGGTTTTCTGGCTAATTACATTTAGTTTGATTTTACTGTGTTAAAAACAACATTCACACAACAGGACCTGAACATGCTGAGATAAAAGGAGTGAATTATATCAAAATGACTTGTAAACAGTGGGCTCTTTACATTCAACGGGTGTTTACGTTTGCGATGTGGAATATATTCCACATTGTTGCAGTAGACCTCAGGAAATGACTCTCACAGCTCGGGACTGACAACATTTCTGCTCGGCGCAGATTTATGGAGATCTACCTTCCCATGAGGCAGTTCTTCTATAACCTGATCCATCCAGAGTACAGCGCGGTCACAGACGTCTATGTGCTGATGTTCCTGGCCGACACTGTTGACTTCATCATCATTGTGTTTGGATTCTGGGCATTCGGGGTAGGTTTTTTTTTAAATCTTATACAGAAGAAATATTTTATTTATCTTTGATTTGTCCCACAAATCAGTAGTGTTTAATGTACTGTATACCTTTTCCCCTGCAGAAACACTCAACGGCAGACATCACCTCGTCTCTGTCGGAGGATCAGGTGCCGGGTCCCTTCCTGGTCATGGTCCTGATCCAGTTTGGCACCATGGTGGTGGACCGGGCTCTCTACCTCAGAAAAACCGTTATGGGCAAGGTCATCTTCCAGGTCATCCTGGTATTCGGGATCCACTTTTGGATGTTCTTTATTCTGCCCAGCATCACAGAGAAGTATGAACTGAGTCCAGCTTGTTATGGCGTGTGCTTCTGAGTCATTGAGCGCTCTGAATGCTTGAAGTGTATTTGGCCTCATGTGCTGAAAAAAATCGACCTTTTGTTTTACATGAACACATTTCAAATACGCTGCAGACGACATTTACCTCTCGGCTGCCTCTCTGCTCCTCCTTTGCAGGCGTTTCAGCGAGAACACGGTCGCTCAGATGTGGTATTTTGTCAAGTGCATCTACTTCGGGCTGTCAGCTTATCAGATCCGCTGCGGTTATCCCACCCGTGTTCTTGGAAACTTCCTCACCAAGAGCTACAATTATGTCAACCTTTTTCTGTTTCAGGGGTGAGCAACTAAATTTAATTTCTTCCAGCTGGAGAAACGAGTTGAAGGACTCGATGCCTTGAGTGAATGAGCATGAATTTTCTCCAACCAGCCCAGAGTAATAAGACGAGTGGATAAACGATTCTTTCACTGTGTCTTTGCCTGTTTTAATATTCGTTGTTTTCACATAGTATTGAGTTGCAGTCAGACTGAATAAATAAAACATTTCCTTGTCAGTTTCCACTCATGACGAGACAAGAAAGAGAGAAACAAGAGTGAAATAGTCTGAACACTTCCAAGTGCTCCGTATAGTTCCAATCTCAAAACATAATCCTGAGCTCCAGTGATGATTTTAAATTGCAGCTTTTGCTTCCTGCAAATAAAATACGACGACTCATTCTCTTCAGCTGTGGTTATGAAAAGGTTTTCAATCTTATTATTGATATGAACAACACAAAGTGGAGGTGACCTTATGCACTCAGGCTTTTGCGCTTTAAAAGTAAAAATGGCAAACCTGTTTCCAGCCTAGGTTTTCTGAAGTCACGACAAATATCGTGATGTGTTGCGTTAAAAAATGTTCAGGAACCTGTCCATATTATAAAAAAAGGTAAAAAAATTTAAAGAATATCCAGAAACATCCTGATGTCACTGAGATTTCCCCTTTTTTTAAGGTAGGATTTCTCTTTTGACTAAACGAATGTGTTGTTGTATCTACTGTAACTATCATCTGATAGATCTGTACCATCATCTGATAGATCTGTACTATCATCTGATAGATCTGTACTATCATCTGAGAATGTTCTGTGTTCAGTGGACTCCAAAAAACAGACTGTGAGAATCTGTTTAGTGATAGATGAAACGACCGGGGCTCCAGCCAAAGCCTGCCCCTCCAGTCTGAATCCAGCCGATTACCTGACGCCGCCCCCATCCTTCTGCCTGTCATTAACTGGAGCTTGTCTGCGGCTTTCAGCTTCCGTCTGGTTCCCTTCCTGACCGAGCTGCGAGCAGTGATGGACTGGGTTTGGACCGACACCTCGCTGTCTCTGTCCAGCTGGATCTGCGTGGAAGACATCTACGCCCACATCTTCATCCTCAAGTGCTGGAGAGAGTCTGAGAAGGTGTTTGCTTCCGAGGCGTCACTAAATGTCGTGTTTGGATTCAAGCTGAACTGGACCTTGGCATTTCTTTTCCTTTTCTTTCACCCTGTGTACTTCTCCAGCTTTAAATAATTCATTCATGCTGCTCTCCCAGAGTGAATTATGCCAATAACCTTCAATGCTTTTTTAATCCGATTGGCTTTTTAGAATGTATTTATAGGGACAGTTCAGACGCTGCAGTGACAGCTGACCCTGCCTTTTTGCCGCCTCTCTGCAGAGATACCCGCAGCCGCGAGGCCAGAAGAAGAAGAAGGTGGTGAAGTACGGCATGGGCGGAATGATAGTGGTGCTGCTGATCTGCATCGTCTGGTTCCCGCTGCTCTTCATGTCCCTCGTCAAATCGGTGGCTGGAGTCGTCAACGCTCCGCTGGACGTGTCCGTCAAAATAACACTGGCCGGCTTTCAGGTTTCTGGTTTAGATGCTCTGCACAAAGCATGTCGTCTCCGGTGTGATCTAGCCGGGGCTAGTTTGTGTGTCACTGATGATGTGTTGGTGGAACGAGAAGCTTGATGAATGCATGAAGAAGTCTTTCACTGATGGCAAAAATGTGAACAAAGTTGGTTCTTTAAAGTCTATATTATCTCCTCACAGCCAATCTTCACCATGAGTGCTCAACAGAAACAGCTGCAAGAGGTCACAGAGGAGGACTTTACCAAGTTTAAGAAAACATTCGTCACGCTTGATGAATCCAGTACAAACGTAAGAGGTCATTTTGGGATTTTCAAAATTCAGCGTCTGCTGTGTGATGAATGGGGATGTTTGAGGAAAGGCCAGGGCTCATCAGAAAGGATCATGTTGGTACATTCCTTGCTTTAACAGCCTGGAAACCTGGAGCTTAGGCATGTTTAAACAATCGATTGTGCAAATTTGCTCCATCGGTGTGTAATTACTTGATTCTGTTTGACTTTGTGTCGTGGTCAGGAGGCCATGCAGTGGCTTGAAAACTACTTCCGGGAGGACTTGATCATCGCTGAGCTGAAGGGAAGCTCCAACTCTTTGTGGACCATCAGCCCGCCCAGCAGAGCCAACCTGATAGAAATGTTGGGTTCCCCGGATGAATTCCTCATCACCGTGTCCTGGTCGGTGCAGAGGTATACAAAGAGAAACATTGCTAAAAAATCCTTTTCAGAAATGGTCCGTTATGTGTCTGCTCACGGTTGCAAATCCTTCGGGAAACCTCATATTGTCCTATTCTGGTTTTTATGCCACCTCTAAAAAAAAAAAAAAAAAAAAAGGAACCCCAGCTGGGAATCGGCTTCTGTGCATTGAGTATGTTCCTCTTGTTTTCAGAAATCTCAGTCTTGGAGCCAAGGCTGAAACTGCTTCTGGAAAAAACGTGAAACCTCTAACCCCAGAAACAAAGCAGGACCTCATAATGCTTCTGAACGGTTCAGTGAACCACTCAAAAGTGTAAGTGCAGCATCTGTTCTCGTCTTCTGCATCTTATGGCGACCACATGTTGAATTTTAAACCCATATTAGATTCGTAAGTGAGGGCTTACTTTATATTATATGGCAAATTACACATAAACATGGTGAGCAGGTAAAAAAAAAAATCATATAAAGTTCCATCAGATTGAAAAGGAAACGCAAACCAGGCACTGACCACTTCTCCTCCTCTGCAGGATCATAACAGAAATCATCCCTCGCTACATCCGAGCGCCCAGCGATTCAGACGCCACACCTGTTGAACAGCTGGGTAAACTACCTTTACTCTTTCCCTAAAAGACACGTAGAGATGAAGTGCTGGCGTACCGGGGAAATGAGATTGTCAGGGTAAACGGCTGATTTTAAAAGAAAGGGAAACTCCTTTTTTTTTTTTTTTGGTGTGACGTTTTCTCAGGTGACAAGATGGTTGACATCAGCCTGACCTTGATGCGAGCCCAGAATTTATCAGATCAGGTGCAAGAATGGTGGATCGTCAACCAGACAGAATCCGGTCCGATAGACAAGAGGAATCAAAAGAACGAGGCGGGCCTGCAGATCTACATATTCAGCGACCAGGTCAGCCCTCCCAGTTTGGGCTTTCTGGCTGGTTATGGGTACGTACCGACTGACACCATCAGGTTTTTCTTGATATTGGGAGAATGCATCATCAGGCGGAACGTCTTGTGCTTCTTTTTTTGAATGTCCAGTATCATGGGCCTGTACGCCTCCGTGGTTCTCGTGATCGGCAAGTTCGTGCGCGAGTTCTTCAGCGGCATCTCCCACACCATCATGTTCGAGGAGCTGCCCAACGTGGACCGCATCCTCAAGCTGTGCACGGACATCTTCCTGGTCCGGGAGACGGGGGAGCTGGACCTGGAGGAGGACATGTACTCCAAACTCATCTTCCTCTACCGCTCCCCGGAGACCATGATCAAGTGGACCCGGGAGAAGACTCAGTGAGAGGGATGCTGAGTCGGAGCTTTTTCAGAGACGCTGCGGCCCAGCTCAGGTGGCAGCGATACAGTGTTAGCCTCCCTCTCCTTTGAGGTCAAACCGGGTGTTTTTACTGTGTAATGATGGAGAGCAACAATTCGTTTTTTGAAAACCGAGCACAGATTTGCAGGTGCTATAAATGTCTAGAAAACGTTGGGCCTCCAAGGGTGCTGATGTGCAGTTGAAGATCTCGTAGGACGCTTTCCAAAGACATAAAGAGCACCGTCGGAGGAAACTGAAACTGCTCTCCACACCTGGCCCCCGACATGTCCACGGCCGTGTGGTGTGGGAGGCTCCACAAACTGTCCGCGGCGTCACTCTTTAAGGGCTTCCCACTGACAAATATGTGCACAACGGAGTTACTCCAACTGGAACGTTTGGATCGTGGGATGGTGCAATACAGAGCTCCTGTTCTTCCAAGGCTTTGGGAGCAAAAAACAAAAAAAACAAGCCATTTGTGACCAAGAAACTTTAAAATGAAATTAACTTTTTTTTCCTAAATATCAGTGGGACTCCAAAGACCAAAACGAAAACCTGAAATCATCAGACAATCTTGCCTTATTTTGTTCGTATGAGCGGAACTGAAACTCTTATGGATTACACATCTTTCTCAGGAAGAGCTGTTTTCACAGATATTCATTGTATTTGTCGTATGTTAGCATATGTAAAGAACATGAGACTGAAAAAAAGGCGAGAACTATTTAAATGGCATGAAATATACCGTCAAGGTCCACATCAGATTGATGTGGAGATTGTTTCGCGCACAGGGCCGTAAAAACGCGTTGCTCCGGAAGTTTCCTTCACAGAAGGACGTTATTGCCAATCGTCCAGATCTCCATCACCACCGGGTTGGCTGGAGTCGAGGCCAGCGGACTGGTGAACGATGGTGACGTGCACCGGGCGGCAGACTCGTGCGCTTCCCCGTCCTTTTTGGGCCTCCGTTTTTAACATTACCGACCGTGCGTTCAGACATCCAAGAAGAAACGAGCAGGCAAAAAAAATAAAGGCTTCCAAACACTATAAAGGGCTGAGAAACGGAGCCCTGTGGTCCCAAACTATGCATTAGAGGACATTGTAGCATGAGTGAAAAACTTCATTATTGCCATGACTAATTTTTTGAGTACATAAGGGGAACATTAGGGGAGCAAAAGGACGGAGGGATGAAATGTGAAATTGTACCTGTGGGTTAAGGCGGTGTGGTGTCATAAAAGTCCAGAGATGTGCAAATAAAATATCTGGAAAGGTGTTTTGTGAAAAGGTCTGTGTTTATGTGTGGAAAAGGGCCGTGAGTGAAAGCAGAGGACCTCTGTCCGCCTTCAGGGATCCAGCAGCGCGGTGATGAAAAACAGCTGCGGCCGGCTGAATCTGGGGCTCTGCCGCTCACTAATTTCAGTTAAAACCCCAGTCCCAATAAAGCTTTGAACACTGTATACAAACAGAAGACAGTGATATAAAAGTCTCATAAATCAGTCATTTATTATTCATTTTACTCTTTCATGAAAAGTAATAGCTTTTTTTAAAAAGCCACTGTTCGAAGTTGTGCGAGTGCAGGAAACATCTGTAATACAGGACAGGGAAACACTGCCCTCTATGCTGCTGTTAAAAGCCTTCTGCAAATGTAAATGCTTCCTTTATCCAGTCAGATTTAATTCAGATTATCTCTGAATCTGGCTCTGCAGTACCTAGAGAATGTCTGGCTCTTTCAAACATTGTTCTGGTATGTTGAAAATAAAAAAAGTTTAATTATCTTACGTAAACAAGGACAAAATGTTTGCAAATTATAGTTGTTTTTTTTACTAACCTTTTAATTCACTTCAGTTTAAAGGAATGTCTCTGACTAATTTTAAATCAAACGTTGTCAAATGTGATAAACTCAAAGAACAAATGGGACTGGACATTTTCTAATCAATGACAGCGCACTGCAGTTTCAGGACTCCAGTATCCTCCATTTAACTATGTTTTTGTTCTCTACACACTAAAGAAAAGAGGCTCTGCTAACGGTAAAACCCGTATTAAACCATTTTAATGTCACACTGTTGAGCAGAGCTAACGAGAAACATACTTGTTGTGAACAAACATCCTTTTTAAGTCCATGCAGTCAAGCTGTAAACCTTTTTATCGTCTCCATTTTAAGTCCAGCCCATAATGCAGATGTGTTGCCCATTCATTGAGGCCTGGAGACATCACAAAAGCATAGCATGAATGCATGGGCATTAAACATCACTTAACAGGAGGAAAGCATTAGCCTCATCAAAGATAAATAGATCTTAGGAAGCTACACAGTCATTACATGTCTGTCGGATGCCATTTTGGTGCCGCTTCTGCTGCTGGACTCACTGATGTGGAAAATCTGTCAGCTAACTCGTTTAAGAAAATGTACACAGACCATCAAGTGGGACACAATGGAAACATTTATTGATGCGTTTGCAGAGTATGGATATTTAGTTTAGAGGAAAATACAACGGGACCTCGGCCTTAAAAATAAAATGTAAACAATCCCTTTAATCACATCAAGTAACCAGATTTGGCTGTATTTTTTTAAACTTTTATTCAGATATTGAGATTAAACCCAGTCTCCTATGTGACAAACACAAGAAAACACTCTGAAAACTTTATTGCTTGGTCCCTTTTTTTTAAAAGCCAGTCACTCTATTGTAGATATGTAACAGAGGAACACACAGCCAGGGTGGGTTTAAGCTTACAGCAGCGCAAACCTCGAGGTAGACAAACATAATCCGTCTACTTTTAGCTATAAGTTGCAAATGTTTTCATTTTCTAGAGGGTGATGTCGAAGACAATAGCGTCATTCTAAAGCATCATATAGACATTTATAGTACTGATTTTATTTAACCATTTCATCTCTCAGAACATGCATTTATTCAGTGTGATTGCATATTACTCCATTTTCAAAAGGCTGCAGCCGTGAATACTGAATAAATTAACTCTGTACAAATAAACACTTACACACTGATAAAGTCGTATGACGTTTTTAGAGTATCTCTGATTTGGCTACGCCTGTAGTAATCTTACACTTTACCCACAAACAAAAAACAGCGAATGTACAGCTTCACACAGATGAGAAACAATAATACAAACAACAGACTGAGGATCCACCTCAAAGAAGAACAAAAGGCTCATCGTCGACTCTTCTGCAACATCTACTTTAACTTTTGTTGCTTTTTTCAAATTTCACTTTCTGTGCATTAAAGATATTGAACATCAGACGGCCATCGGAGCGCTGGGGGTTTTCAACTCGTACACAGAGGGGTGGCGGTGGATGGGTGGAGTCTGGAGGTTAACACAGCCCGCCCTCATAGTCGTCCTCCTCCTCGGCGGCGCCGGCCGGCGCCCCGCTGGCGCCGCCTTGTGGAGCAGCGGCCTTCTTCTTCTTGGCTCCGCCTCCAGGTACCCGCAGGGAAATGGCCAGTTTGGCGTACTGAGAGGAAGAAAAGGTGACATTAGCTCAAGCATTCCAAATGAATCCCACTGGGGGTTTTTTTTAACCACAATCGGATGCTGCAGGGGATCGAAGCATCGTCCGCTTCGGATATTTGAGACAATTCTGGATTTGAGCCGCCAGGATAATGGACATCTAATCGTAATCATAGGCTCATTTTTCCCTGCTGCTTATCAACACTCCAGAGTCACTCATTCTGTCCAGATGAAATATTTAACTGACTCCTCATTTTGACTGGATTAACTTTAACTTTCTGGGGAGTTGGGTGGATTTTTAGCCCCTGGAACGGTAAGTGGGAAGTTTGAAGTTTGGTTTTTTAACCTAAAAGAAAAGCAGTTTTTGTGTTACTGGAATAATTCTGAATGAATGCTAGCGTGTGGTTGGTGCTCACATCGTTGTCCATGTACTTCAGTAAAGGGGAGTTGCACACGCGGTAGACCTGGTCCTCATCCTGCTCGTCGTAGCCCTGCAGCAGGGTCTCCATGGCAACGCTGTCCTCACTTCCGCTATAGCCGGGCAGACTGCAGGAGAACCGACAAGCACCTCACGTAAAGATGGTCAGTTTAAAAGGGCACCGGTGCGACTCACGAGCGCGAAATGTTGGCCGAGGCTGGAGAACGTCACGGCGGGAGCGTAACATCGGCGTGAGAGGGAGGAGGCTCGCTCTGTTCTGAGACGTCATACCTGTAACTTTCTCTGACGCATTTGTCTGCGGCCACGAAGTCGCCTCTGTGGAGGTGAATCAGCACTTGAGCCGTAGTTTTCTGAGGATTGACAGCATCGCTGAATCATCCATGCTGCTGCTGCTTTTCTGCTCTTTTTTGTTTTTGTTTTTTCTGTGGTTTTCATTACCTTGAAGCACATGGGGAAGTTCTCGATCTCTTTGTACATGTTCTTCTCTTTCTGCAAGGCTACCGCGGCGTCGTCCAGCCTGAAAGAGAAGGCCAGGGGGCAGCTTCATGATGAGCAGGAAATGTGCAGAAGCCACGATTTAGCAGAAGATTAGCTTCTGCAATCTACATTTGGCCATCAGAAAAATGTCGACAGTCACAAAGCATTGGATGACGCAGACTTGTCTTTTCACATCCTGATCAATAGGGCTACAAATATTCCAAGGTCTTCTTGCAAGAATAATTCAAAGGTACACGGGGTGTAAGGAGACAAAAACCTAACCAGATAAAAGGTTTAGAGTTATAAACCCAGGGATCTTTATTCCTTTTACCTTTTTAGCCTGACCAGCAGCCTGGAGGCTTTTCCCAGCAGCTCCACTGCCTGACGAAGGCGGTCCTCGTTCTGCGGGAGCAAAACAAAAAGATGTGACCGAAATGAAAAAGGAATCACCTTAAATCTCAATTATTCCATTTTTGTGAGAATGTTCACCTCAAACACACCAGCAGCCTTCTGATACAAGTCGACAGCTTTCTCCAGGTTTAGAGGCTCAATCAGCCTGAGGAGGGAGAAGAGGAAGGCCATCAGAGCAATTTTACAGGAATTAAAATTAAGTAGATGATCAATTTAAGTAAAATAAACTTACAACACTCACAACACCCAAAACAAACCAACACCCACAGCTCAGATGGAGTGAATGTTGTAAGAAGAGAAAAAAGGTTTCATTTCTTACTTTCCTGCCCGGTCCAAAGCCATGGCAGCCGTGTCAGGAGTCCCATTCTCCATGTACATCATGCAAGCTTTCTCTATTAACTGGATGGCCTCTGGCATTTTCTTTTGTTCCTGTTAAAGCAGAGGTCAGAAATCGGTTTATGACAGTTAGGTTTCCCTCCATCTGCCTCATCTTGTCCTCACTGAGCGCACAGCCGTGCTCACCTTCATCATCATGCCTGCCTGTTCAATGGCTCTGAGGAGAAAGAGGAAAGTTAGGGGACGAACAGGGGATGTTATGTTTACGGCTTATTCTGAGACAGGCACAGAAGTCCAGATACTCACTTTGCAGCATGAAAAAGTCTGAGGGGCAAGTTAAGGGAAAATTGAGAGAGTGCCAAGAAGCGATAACTAACAGACCATTTGCTCATCAATCTGCTCCTAAACCCGAGGTGACAACACATAAATATTATAAAGCATCATACGAGGCAAAGAAAGGTGGGAGATCTTCCCTCATTAAAGACAACAAGAAGCATTTGTTTGCCATGTTAATGCTAAATTGAAGCGGTTTTGTACAACAGTTCTCCCGGATTTCTGACGATCTTTTAAATGTTCTTCTTTGGACTGGCTTCTTTTTCAATCCAGTTCTTGGACCTGACCACCAGAGGACATGTTTGCTTACTAAGCCATTAATAATCGACTATGACTATGAACCAATCATGAATCTGTTGAAGCGGTGTGGGGTCATCCTGGCCAGGGATGAGGTTTGAGGTATCCGTCAATAAGCATGGAGAACTATTTCGAAAAACCACTCTAAGAAATTAAATAACTCTAGTCTCAGAGGGTCCAACCTGTGTTTATCAATAAAAATTGTTAAATCATTGTCTCCAAAACATTTGCTCTTTCTTATGTGACAGAAGGCACTGCACCTATCTAAGCTTTGCAGAGAACTGCGACATAAGCCTTATTTTAGGCTGACAGCTCAGGTTTTCTGACTGATTGCTGCAGCTATGGAGAACAGAGGATACGTCTTATTTTCCGTGTGGTATTCAGCTTCCTTCAGGTAGGCATCCTTTGCTTGTTCATACTGCTTTGCGTTCTTGAAGCACACAGCTGCACACAAAACACAGATCAATTCACAGCAAATCCCTCCAGTCGAGTTTGGATTTATAATAAAGACCTGCTTTACCTGCTTTGGCGTATTCTGATGCAGCACTGTCATAATCAGGCTTCCACTTGGTCAGACTGGTCTTTAAGCTTAAAACATGAACCAAATGATCAGAAACCCCCAGACAATAATGAAGAGACACGTTTTAGCATTAAATCTATGGACAATACACGCATTAGACATCCATTGTAGGAGTTTGTCGCATCACCTTCCTGGTGGAAAAGCCTCAGTGGCCTTCCAGCTAGCTAAAAAACAGCAATAACAAACTGTTTTTACTTGTACCTGAGCAGGACAAACTAAAAGAGCGGACTCACCATTTCTCCCCCTTAGCCATGTGCTCGTGAGCTTCGTTTATTTTCTGAGCAGCCATGCTGTTGATTGATAGCTAATAAAACAAGCTTGATATCGATAAAAAGGATGGTTGTTTCGTCGCTGTTTGGATTAACAGGAACTCCTCCTCGGCCGCAACGTCATCTGATGTCGCAGCCTACGGGTGCCGCCGAGGACAAACGACACCGAGAGCACAAACCACCGCATAGATTGTGCTCCTGACTGTTAATATTCAGAAAAGTTCCAGTCCTTCTCAAGAGTATAACCCTTGACATTCAAAGGTGATGTAAAGCATCGTCCACTTATTTATAACCAACATGTGCAAATAGCCATTTCAACTTGTGACTTATGTTTAGTTAAAATGCTTAGTTATTATACTTTCCTTTTCTGTTTATGTTTAAACGAAAGCATTGCTTGTTTTGGGAAAGAAAATGTTTTAGGATGAACTAGAGGCCTTTTTGTATACCAAATTTTCTCATTTCCATATAAACGTTATAACTAGCCATTAGCTTTCTTTTCTATCTTAATCCTCTGTAATTTGACCTGTCTTTTAGATAAAGATAATTAAATCCCTGTAAGGTTAAGAGAAAACTAACAAACTACCTGAACAACATCACAAATCACAAACTAAAAGCATTTCCCCCTACATGCATTAACTAACACACGATTTAAGCAAACTGGGCAGGCTACTCACCTAATATAGAAAAATGATGATTGATTGAATCTGAGTAGCCTGCTAAAAGTATTCAAATATAATTATTTATAATTTGACACATACCTTGTTGATCCAGGTTTAGGAAACATTTTGGCCATCATGTGTGTAGTCCCTGTAGTAATTTTATTTGTAAAGTGTCTCCATTATTTGGAGAAATGTGGAGGTTTTCATTTCAAACTATTTTAAAGTGATTGTAAAGATGTGAAAACTTTGTCTTTGTCAGAAAAACCTTTATGTAGTTTTACATGAGAGCCGGAAGCGGAAGTGACGTCAGACGACCCCGGTCTCTAATGGCTGAACAACAACAACTGTCGGCGAGTGACAAACTTTCCCAAACTTCTTCAGACACAAAGGAAAGTTAGAGTTAGCGATTTAGTTCGGTCGCGTAGCCATTTAGGTGTGCTTGTCTGTTCGTTTTTCATCACAAATGTGGGATTACTGATGGATCCCAGATATGACATACCGCGGAGGGCCACCGCCGGCGGCAGCGGGGGCTCCGCGAACTCGTCCCCAGCTTTGGGGGCTCAGTCACGCCGCAGGAAGATGCCTCCGAGACCCGCTGATTTCAAACTCCAAATTATAATTATTGGCTCTCGCGGTGTGGGTAAGACCAGCCTCATGGAAAGATTCACAGATGACACTTTCTGCGAAGCCTGCAAATCCACCGTAGGTGAGGACAGGACGTCTTTTCAGGACTTGTTTTTGTTTACTATTTATCCAACCATGGAGCAGGGCGCCGACTACGTACTGGAGAAGACCTGATTAAGCTACCACTGAAGGCGGCTAGTAAACGTTCCGCCTTTGAGTTTATCGTATACAGGGACTGCACAGAGGTTGAATTAAGAGCTACAGATGGCGAAATTGTGCTAAGTCGAACATCAACTTTGTTCAAGCTATCAAACACACACTGCTGTGGAGAAACTACAGTATTTCCTCCCACTTACACGCTGATGGCTTGGACTATCATTTGGTTTGGTTGCTGCATATTTAGACAGTTTCAATAGGTTTATGTAGGGATTACAACTACTTTTAACAAATGATAATCTTGGACCACCGTGGCAAAATGTCCAAAATGGTCAAATTTACATAAGAAGATTTTTAAATGTTCCCTGGCATCTTTTCTAATAACAAGACAAGATCACCTTAAAATAAAAAATAGAAAAAGGTAGGATGCCGTGGTCCTTAAAAGTAATGACATTTTTGTTTGTGGAATTGGATAAACAGTCCTGTGACCTGTCCTGTGCTGCAGCCAGCCGTAGTGTCCACTCCCAAAAATAGCCTCACACAGGCAGCTGCTGTGCCCCAGCTCCATTTTGTGCCCGGTTATTCCCATGACACAGCCATGTCTCACTAATATTATGCTTCTATTATCGTGTGTCACGCATTTGTCTGTCTGAGAATAATTGTTTTTTAATGGTGTGATTTATTTGATAGAATAATGTATTGTAAGTGTTGTTCTTGTCGTTTTTACAGCTGTTATCCACTGAAGAATTTTTGGGGCAAATTTTGGAGAATAGAAATATTAGTCGTTCGTTTTAAGGAACAATTTTGGCATAAATGTGATTAGCCACACCATGCCCCCCCGTAAAGGCAAAGCAGCACAGGAAATGCTGGCGAATGACCGGATTCACAAATATTTTATGATTTCTTTTATAGGGGTTGACTTCAAAATCAAGACAGTAGAGTTAAGAGGGAAGAAGATTAGACTACAGATCTGGTAAGTATGGGGGGGGCTCTTTCTCTGTCCTGTCACCCTGCCTATAAAAAGAGAACTCTGAATGGCCTGCTGGCTGCATCAGCTTTGCGTATGACGTGTTTTGCATTTGAGCTCCAACAGTCAAAGCCAGTGATTTGTGTTGGAATGTGTCTTTGAATTTGAGGCATGCTGCCCAAAGTCATCCCCACCAAATTATCAGTCCATTCATTGTTGGTGGCATCTGGTGGTTTTATTACCTTTTAGATTGCTTTGCACGTGCATTTGCAAACACAGGCTGTGGAAACCATTCATTTGTTGTAACCCATCAATGGTGGTTGCTTTCTTGCTCTGTGATAAAGTGTTGAGGCCTCAGTGTGTGAATGAGGGACATCTTGGGATTCGCGTGGCTGTGGTTGAAAAAGCAGCTATTTTGTGCCTGCTGAGAAAAGCTTAGAGCTCCACGTGTGGCGCCCCACCTGACGAGGGTTTCTATTCAGTTTTCTCCACTGATCATCTGATCTGATGTGTGAGAGCCGTTATTGTCCAGAATTTGTACCGACACCCTCAAACAGTCTCCTCAGAGTAGTGACAGATGCTCATTTGATTCTGGTGGCTCTAAAATATCATATTTATCAGTCAGTCAGGAAAAAGGAGCATTTCTTGTTGCATTTGTTGCTCAATGAATCAGTTTATTGTCGCTAAAGGTTAGCTGTTTAGAGGTTGGGACCAGACCCCAAAAGGCCATCTGTAACAGGGATATAGATGTATTTTTAATTCTGGAAAGTCTTCACTTCTGTCTTGTGACTCCAACTTGACTTTAATCACATTTTGAAAGAATTTACAATTCAACCCATAAAAACGGATTAACTTTCTACAAACTGAAATCAGGAGGGCGTCCGTATACAGTGCGGTTTCAGAACATTTAAAAAAATATTTTAGACATAAAAACAAATGAAGTTAACATTTTTTCCCCTAAGAATAACCCAAATTCTTCATATGTGACTGAATAATACATAAGGGCCATCCCATATATACGCTCTTACCCTTTCAACTCACAGCTAAGTTCTGCTCTAATGACCTTTGAGTGAAGCAGACTTTCACCAGACTAAATTTAGAAGGAAAACTCCTTTAGTCAGAGGGAAAACAAAGCCTTTTGTCTTAAGGAATTGTTCATAGGTTTTCATATTCGGCTAAATCGGAGGAGGGTTGCAGGAAAACCTTTTTCAGGTGAACAGTTCCAGTTTGCTCTGAATCTGAGCGGAGTGTGGAGCCCCACTTATTAGGGGCAGTGAGATGGGAAACGTTCAGTGGTGGCACCCTGTTTGAGCCCAATGGGGAACACCTCAAAATGTGGCATACTTGTCAGCGACTAGAACTCTTTTTGCTTTGCTCTAAAGACTCGCTGGCATTTGGATTCAGTGCTCCGGGAACGATTTGAATCGCTGTTCGGTCTTTTGTAAAAAAAACCTTTAGGTCAATTTGGGTATTGGTCATAACCGGCGCTAGTTTTTCCCCATCAGGAGCCCGAGCTACTCAAAAAGCGAGATTTCAACTTTAGAAAGATGTGGGTAAACGTTCTGTGTGGATGTTTGGCTCCAATCTGGAGCTCCAGTGCTTGTTTCACTAACACCTTTTTCTTGCTCACTCACTCACCCCCCCCCTCACCCTTCCCGTCACCGTACATCCTCCACCCTGTTACCGCTCCCCGTGTTGACCACGCTCCTCTGCCCGCCCCCGGTCTGTCCGATCAGGGCGGCCCTCGTCAGTGCGCGTGGCGTCTCGCGTTGAAACGCCGCCCGGCCTTACCTAACCCTGCCATTGTGCTGCCGCCGCTGTCTCTGTCCACCATCCCGCTCATAAGCCTGACTGTGACTCACACGGGGGAAGGGAGACATGCTTATTGGCTGAAGGTACAGTAACACTGCACCGTGAGTGTGGCTCAGAATGCTTCGTCGTGCTTCGGCTGAGTCAAATCAGGGCTCACGTGTCTTGTTTTCTGTTTTGTGTTTTTCCAAATCGCTGTTTAAAGTCAAACCAGATTGAGTTTCATTTAGAACGCACGCATGCATCTGGATGAGAAAGGACTGGTACAGTAGAATGTCCAGTAAGTACAACTTCAAAACGTAAAACTCGTCTTATGAGCCAAACGTCTTTTTTTATGATTCTTCTTCTTTTCTTGAGATGATCAGCAGATTCAGCTCAAACTAAAGAGTGATTCAGTGTCATGTTCAATAACTGGAAACCACAAACTCTCTGCAATCAATGTCGACCAATGACACCGAGATCCCTCTGAACTCATTCTCCCCTTTTAACCACCATGTTTAGTTTAGTTTAGTTTTAAACACGATCGAACGAATAACAGCCATCTTGATGCAATTAAGGAAAAACAAATCGGCCATTTGTGATTTGGAGTAGGCTATCTTTGCACTGCTAGCACTCCCTGTTAAGCAGGTCTGTCTTGCAGGGACACTGCAGGCCAGGAAAGGTTTAACAGCATAACATCAGCCTACTACAGAGGAGCCAAGGGAATAGTACTCGTGTATGATATCACAAAACAGGAGACTTTCGAAGACCTCCCCAAATGGATGAAAATGATCGACAAGGTACTTCGGCTCTACGCTTTCCTCTCTTTTAATCCGTCGTCAAGAGTTAACTCAGTGTCTGACTGTATGCATTCCTGCCAGTTGTTTTAAATAAAACTGATTTTTACTCGATAGAGCATCACTAAGAAGTATTTGAAGTGTAAGTTAACAGTGATGAATTAAAGTAAAGAAGTAACAGTGGAGCTGAACTTCACAAAGGAGGCATTTTCTGCCCATATTGAAGAGAAAAAGTGATTTGTTGCTAGATGTCTACAATTAATAAAAACCACATTTAAATTAAACATAATAAAACACACAAAATTAAATCAAACTGTCAAATTTGACTACAAATGAAGATTACTCATGCTGTTGTGTGCGTTGCTGGGTTCTGTTTCGGTTCTGCTGTGCGGTCCATGCCAGTACGCCTCCGAAGAAGCAGAGCTGCTGCTGGTCGGGAATAAGCTGGACTGTGAGACTGATCGTATCATCTCCAGACAACAAGGAGAGAGGGTGAGTTCAGCACACACACTCCCTCACCGCGTCAGACATCGCTCTGATTCTGAACACCGCTCCACCCAGAATAGGGGTTTCATTGAGCCTCACACACACACACTGCTGATAAGCACGCCTGTCAAACTTTATTCTGCTGCCTTTTGATAGATGAAGATGTTCTTTGCTTTTGATGGTCTCCTCTTACTGTGACTGATTGCAGTTTGCCTCTCGGATAAGCGGAATGCGCTTCTGCGAAGCCAGTGCCAAGGACAACTTCAACGTGGACGAGATCTTCTTGAAGCTAGTGGACGACATCCTGAGCAAGGTCGGTGCGCCTCATTTCCAAAACTTTATTCGCGAGAACATATCTCTGCGTCATGCGTGCCATCCGTGACCTCGCCTCCGCTTCCGCAGATGCCCCTGGAGGTTCCCAACAGGGAGCTGTCCAACAGCGTCCTGTCCCTGCAGCCCGAACCAGAAGTGCCCCCGGAGTTACCCCCTCCCCGCATGCGCTGTTGCTGAGAGTCGGAGTGGACCCCCCCGCCCCCCTCCCCCTCCTCTCTCCCCTCTCACCCCTCTCACACAAAGCACACTCTCTCACACGGTCATGCAACGCCTCCCTCTGGCCAGCAGGGGTCAGCATCCAGCAGCACTTTGGAGCGACGGACCTGCTGCCCGGCCTCTCTAACAGAGCAGTATTATTATTATCCTTTCTTCTGGTTTGGTTACTGAGCACTACGACCCGCAGCACACTAACACTTAGGCCCGGAGAATCGCCCTCTTCCCCCCCCCCCCCCCCACCCCCTCCTCCGCCTACACTTGACCCAGACTACCTCATTGCTCAGACGGTTAGGCTCGCCGCGCCCCCACAGGTGCCTTCCAAGTAGAGAGCCCCTCGGGTAGCAGTTCGACGTTTCCTGAGGAGGAGAGCGACTTACTGAGGGCCTAAACAACCTGTTTTCTGGCTTTACTTGTTCGCCGTCACACACACACACAAACACTTTAGCCATTTATCTTTAGAAATCGATTCTGCCCTCTGCGATCTCCAAAATTTAGATTCATAAAAGGGACAGCAACATCTCACATCTCCCCACTTCAATTCAAACTCTGGGTCTACCGGTACACTAGTTTTAGATACTTATTCATACGTGTCGCTACCAAGTGTCGGATGGACTCCAGACAAAGGAAAGCAGGCGGTGTAAATATGGTGCGTGGCTGTAAGGACCGGTGCGGGGGGGGATCCTGTCAGCTCTGCCTAAAAGTGTTCAATTGGTATAACTTTGTAACATTTTGCACTACAGTCCATCTTCCTGTTAAACTGACACACAAGGAGAGGAAAGTTCAGCACCAATAAAGACCCAGACAGCCTTTTCTGTAGGCGGGAAGTCCACAGGACTGATGGGTAATGTAGTGCTTAGCTGATCGATGTTTGCACAGGGGGATTGTGGATGTGCATTTTCTGGCCTATCAGAAGAGATAGAAGCCTCAAAAAGCTAACACAAGTGGTTTTAGGCTTTCTTTTTGTTACTAACATCTTTTTTTTTAGTGTATGATGTTCCCCTCTGAGTTAAGATGCAGCTGAAGGGAGAGGGTTGGTTTCCCTTTCGGTTTGGGAAAGAAGAAGGTTGGTGTCAGGTTTGAAGGATTTTGGAGACTTTGGTCAACTGCTGGCTGCACACGCCCGTGATGAGAGTGGACAATCGTAACAGTTTGAAGCTCCGGCGTTTAGGGCGGAATGAAGTCTAGTGGCGAGGGTGAAAACCCCTCCTCCACGACTTTTACCTTCCCAGCAATTAGGAAAAACCAGCAGCAGTGGAACATGGTCAGTGTTTGGTTTGTCCCATTTGGGTCACCGTAGCAACAGGAGAGGGTCAAAAGTGGACTATGTATGGACTTCAGACTGGAATTGTTCATTCTTAGGGCTGTGGTCCAAACAAGGAAATATTAGGTAAGACATTTGTGGTTTGAAGAACTTTTTTTTTTCCCCCACAAGTTTTGAATTTAGGATTTTTTTGTTTTTTGACCACAGATGGCCTTCTTATTTGCACAATAAAAGTAATCCCTCCCTCTTTTAGTTCATCTGTCTTTTGTTTTGAGATTATTGCAATGTTAGCAGTGTAGTCCTGTGAGTGACGCGCTGAGGTTGGTGAATAGAATCCAGGGAGACAGAAGGGGCTGCTGGAGAAGATCCGATCGGAAATGACTGAGACTTACTTTCTGTATTTCTTTCTCACAGTAACACTTTTTCTTCACAGAGGTTTTATGTTAAATTGAAGCTTTCGGGGTCTTAAAATGGCACATTATCGTACAGATGAGTGGTTTCAAACCGAAATGAAGGTGCTCGGTGTAGAAAGAT